TCGTTGTGTGGGGTATTTTTGATAATGGAAGAATGACGCGCTGCAGATTGGAATATCATAATTATAAATATGAATTAGAATCGACAAACTGGGACTGGAAGAAACCTGAAAGTTGGAAATTAAGCGGAAACGGAAAATTGTACACATTGGTAGATACTTCTAAACGACCGCTACCTGAGTATTACCTTGTTTATGAAGGCACTATGGTAGAAGGAAGGATGGAAGGCAGAGGAAAACAATATGAAGGTAATCCTGGATTTCAGCAAATCGAGAAATGTAATGCTTTTGATACAATCAAAGTGGGAGAGTTTCGTAACGGAAAACTTGATGAAACTAAAACCTATTCTATCTTCTATCGATCGAAGGCAAAAGAAGGTTTTACATCGCTTAAGAAGGTATGTTATTCATCTAACAAGTCTATTCATCGTATGTATATCAATGAAGAAAATGGTTCATATGAATATATTGATTTTGTTAATGCTAATAATGCTGGTTTAGGATGGTACTTTGAAGGAGGTTTGAATGTAATGTATGGAAAGAAAAATGAAAACGGTAAAAGAGAAGGAATCTGTACTTTCTATAAACTACCGAACAAAAATGAGTTGGATTCAATATTCAAAGGAAATCGTGTTGAATATGATGAAAAGACACTGGAATCGTATTTGACAAAGAAAGTAACATACAAGAATGGTGTTCTCGAAGGTGATGTGTGCTATAACATGAATGGAACTAGAATTGAAATGGTTATGAAGAATGAGAAAGGTTATGAAGGTATTAAATATGAAAAAGGAAGGACTATTATTCATAATGATGATGCTTGCGTGAAACGATTAACAACTGAAATCTATCGAGGAGGTATAATCATATATGATTATAATGATGGTAAAATGGAATACATTTATGATGGTCAAGGAGAAGGAGAAATATTGATAAACAAAGATTCTAGATGTTGGTTTGAAGGTGAATGGCGCGACAATAAAATGTATAAAGGCAAACTTCGATTTGCTAAAGATGGTCGTATAATCGAAGGTGAATGGCTAAATGGCGAGATTGATCCACAATTTGAATACACAATCCGATTGAATGAAAGAGATTATAAAAAGAGTACACTACATAATAATTATGGAGAACACAACGTGACTGAATGCAATATCGATGGAAGAGAATACAAGTTGGCAAAGAGAGATCGCTCAATCTATTGTACAGTGAAAAGTGGCACCGAATTACTCTACGAAGGATTTGTGATGAGTAAAGCAAATTCAGAACACATGATGTCGAATACTGGAATGGTACCTAATCGATTTGTGAAATGGGAATACATCCCATATGGAGCAGGCAGAGAATATGAAAATGGGAAATTGAAATATGAATGTATTTATGTGTTTGGAAAACGTGAAGGAAACGGAAAAGAATACAAAGAAGATGGAAGAACACCATTGTTTGATGGAAATTGGAGAAATGACCAATATGAAAATGGAGCTTATTATCAAAATGATGTAAAGATCCTATGCTATTTCGGTGGAGGTCTACAAATCAAAAACTCTTTTGTCTATAAGAATGCAAAAGTGTACAAGAATAATATACAATTGTATCAAGGCTCGATACATTTTGTGGGAAATGATATGAAACCAGTAGAAGGAACTTGGTACATAAGTTTCCTTGGTAATTCTCGGTATCTTGTGAAATCATCTGATTTGCGAGACAATAAAATCCATATCAAAAACTTTGTGTTTGAATACACTGGTTCGATAAAATTCGAAGATTTTGATTTCAGAATGTCAATAGAAGGAAAAGGTGAATTGATACATAATGGATACACTTATTGTGGTGAATTTGAAAGTGTTGAAACAATAAAAGAATGTACACTAAGCCAAGTGATATCCAGTGGTCAGAAAGCACCATTCTATTATGGTGAAGTGAAATGGTTAATGCTGTATGCTGGAATTCAATTTGATGCCAATAATATTTCTGAAGGATTATTTGAAGATAATAGATTGACTAATGGATATGTTTTCGATACTGCTGGTTATTTGAAACAAATTGTAGGAGATCCAAGTGGTTATGAAGCACTTTATTCTGAGAAGAAGTACAAGTATCGCGAGTTATTCCAAAAGAATCATGGAGTGGTTATCCATTATCCAAGAACCCAACCTACTACTACTATGAATCAATTCACACCTAATTTAGGCAAACCTGAAATTCAACTCACATCCAATTTAGCAAAATTAACAAATCCAATAATACCCAATGTGGGCAAATCTGGAAGTCAATCCTCACCCATTTTGACCAACCCTGGAAGTCAACTGACACCCTCTGTGGTAATATCAAAAAAGACTTATACTCAAGAGAAAAAGATTGCTAATGGTTCACTAGTGATCTACAGTGAAGGTGATAAGTGCTTAGTCAGAATGACATAAGAAATTGTTTTTTGAAAACGCCACATTTATTGTTCAAATGTCTATATTTGTGAATTAGGAGATAATCAAGTGCTGTTTATCGAAAAGTGAAATAGGTTAAAAAACAAAAGCAATGTGTATTCATTGCAACATCATAATTCTTGATATTTCCAATACATGCTCATTGGATGTGAATAAAAGAGTGTGAATAAACTATTTATGTTTATGATTATTATGGATTCCAGATTACTCCATTAGGATAAACTATTAAACAAAACTGTGTACTATTCTTCGATTATTTTCGATAACTACTTACGATTATAATAGAGTGCATAGTATCCATATCAAATCATAATGTTTTCTTGAATGAATGAATTGGTATCAAGTTACATATTATTATTGGGATCTTCATTCAGTTTTCTTTATGTATTCTTTAATCACTCAAATATAACTCACATTTATATGAACGGAACTCTCTGTAATAATCGATTCTACTGTGGCTAATTATTGACTAGAGTTTCTAGAAAACAAAAAGGAATTGCTAACTCTTAATATGAATAGCGTTGCAATTTCTGTCTATTCTCTTTACGCTATGTATACTTGAATTAGATTCCATTCCGCCATTTCCAACTGACTGCCCTTATTTTCATCATCGATATTCACAACCGCGCTGCATTGGAACATGTAAGCATTGTATGCACTTGCATTATCCACGGTGAAGCTCTTCGATTGGTTGGTCTCACTCCATTCCACATTATCCTGGCTATCCAGCATCACCCATTCGTCGCTATCTTCGTTCTTTCTACCGAAGATCTTCCACATGTTGCAGGCAGAAGCCATCGAATCGCCGTTGGTAAGCACATACTTGTTCATCGTGTATTCATTGCCCTCAGGGAACGTGTAGGTCACTTCCACAGGGAAATCCGAGATCGTCACAGCAGTTCGGTACTTGGTAGAAATCGAAACATCGAATAGGTTCTCAACCGAGTAACCAGTCATGCCCGCCCTGTTCGATTGAGCCACTCCACTTCCAACCAGAGTTTGTTCCGAGGTTGTGAGCTCCACAGAGCACTCGAAGTGCTTCGATTCTTCAGCACCCATCACCGTCTTTCTGTACGATCCAAGCAAACCATCCTTGAAAATACGAACCACCGAATTCTGTTTCCAAGCCTGCCCATTTGCTTCCGTCATCACAATCGTGTAGAGGCCTTGAGAGAGGAACAGATTCACCACACCAGCTATGCAGTGAGTCTGGCGGTAGATGGCACGATCACGCGAAGCACCTTCATAGATCGCAAATCCTTCAGAATCAGACGAGTTGCCACATGAACGAAGCAATGTGACTTTAATTCGATCTTCGGACATCATAGTGTTACTGGAAGTGTGATTAGCAGGAGAACCGAAATTGACCACCTTATGAAAACTGGCATTTCCACTTTCCATAGCATAAGCCAAGGAAACCTTTCCACTCTTCAGAATCAAATGAGAGCCCGAAGACCAGCCATTCAGACCTGTATCCCGCATCACTAAGGTGTGTTCAACAGGACTAATGCATGTATAATATGTTCCAGCAATACAAGTACTCTGACCAAATACTTCGGTTGTACTCGAAGGCTCCACTCCATAATAGATATCGAAGGATTCTTCGTTTCCATTCACTCCACAAGTACGAACAATCTCCAGCAAAGATTGATCCTCAGCACATGTAGTAAATATATCGGTAGATGAAAGAGCACTGTGAGAAGCTAAAGCCGGTGATACAGACACTTCAGTAAGAGAAAAAGCGAATACTATGACATTCATATCTCCATTATTCAATCTATAGGAAAGTGATACATTTCCATTCTTTAATAATAGTGAAGAACCACCATCCCATCCATTGTTGTTATTATCCCGTAAAACAATAGTATGATAAACAGGATTCATACAGAAATAGAATCTACCAGCATAACATTCAGTTTGTTCATAAATAGGATCAGTAGAATAATCATAGACTCCTTCATATATACTAAATGATTCATCATATATGTATAATCCACAAGTACGAATAGCTTCGATCAAAACTTGGCCATCATTACATTCAGGAACAGGTAGAGTAGGTATAGGTGGAGTAGTAGGTATAGGTAATATAGGAGTAAGAGCAAATACTAAGCGCATATATCTTCCACCCACATCCAATTTATATGTCTGTGATACATTTCCATTCTTTAATAATAAATAAGAATTACCATTCCAACCATCTGTACCCAGATCCTGTAAAACAATAGTATGTTCAACAGGGTTTATACAGAAATAGAATGTATTAGCATAACAGGAACTTTGTTTATATATAGGATCATTAGGTAAATTACGAGCTCCTTCATATATTTCAAATGATTCTTCATTTGGGTGTGATCCACAAACTCGAATAGCTTCGATCAAGAATTGTCCATCAATACATTCAGGAGGAGGTGGATTAGGATTAAGAGTAAATACTTTAGCCTTTATAGCTCCATTATCTAATCTATATGCCTGTGATATACTTCCATTCTTTAATAATAGTGAAGAACCATCATCCCATCCATTGATAGCACTATCCCGTAAAACAATAGTATGATAAACAGGATTCATACAGAAATAGAATCTACCAGCATAACATTCAGTTTGTTCATAAATAGGATCAGTAGAATAATCATAGACTCCTTCATATATACTAAATGATTCTTCATTTGTGTGCGTTTTACAGGTACGAATAGCTTCGATCAAAACTTGGCCATCATTACATTCAGGAACAGGTAGAGTAGGTATAGGTGGAGTAGTAGGTATAGGTAATATAGGAGTAAGAGCAAATACTAAGCGCCTATATCTTCCACCCACATCCAATTTATATGTCTGTGATACATTTCCATTCTTTAATAATAAATAAGAATTACCATTCCAACCATCTGTACCCAGATCCTGTAAAACAATAGTATGTTCAACAGGGTTTATACAGAAATAGAATGTACCAGCATAACAAAAATCTTGTTTAAATATAGGATCATTAGGTAAATTACGAGCTCCTTCATATATTTCGAGTGATTCTTCATTTGGGTGTGATCCACAAACTCGAATAGCTTCGATCAAGAATTGTCCATCAATACATTCAGGAACAGGTAGAGTAGGAATAGGTGAAGTCGACGGAACAAGATTTAATACAATGGATTGTGCCGCTCCATTATCCAATCTATAGGAAAGTGATATACTTCCATTCTTTAATAATAGTGAAGAACCATCATCCCATCCATCTGAATCCAGATCTCGTAAAACAATAGTATGTTGAACAGGATTTATACAGAAATAGAATGTACCAGCATAACATTCAGATTGATAATAAATAGGATCAGTAGAATAATCATAGACTCCTTCATATATACTAAATGATTCTTCATATTTGTGCGTTTTACAGGTACGAATAGCTTCGATCAAGAATTGTCCATCACTACATTCAGGAATAGGTAGAGTAGCTGAGAGATCAACTGAAGTCATAGAGATATTCTCTGTTTTAATCGACTTAAGTAACGCGATATTACTCAATGCAAATCCAGATAGGTTGCTTAGTTTATTCAGTCCCAATTTGTAGATATCATTAAACACATTTACATAAGAATTAGTCAAAATGGAGTAGAAGTGGGAGCCAATTAATGCGAATAATATAGTAAAAGTAAGAATCACAGTTATAGATAAGTAAATATTACTGTATACGAGACTAGTCAATTCTTTCTTTGCAGGTTCCTCTGCTGCTTTCTTTTTTGTATTTTTGGAAGATTTGGTTTTCATGTAATCTGCCATTAACTGGAGGTCTGTCTTGGTACACAGTTTACTACCCAATAGCTTAGGACAACCCCATCGGAGAATAATCATTAAGTCGATAGTTGCTGTAACAACAAGACCCGAAATTACATTTATCACAAATAATAGAAGCAAGCCAACTACTATTGCCATGAATGTCAGCATTAGTCCCTGTTTTGAATAGCCAGTTAACCAAGTCGTCTTTTTATATACTTCGTTATTCTTGTAACTGGTTCCTTTTCCATGTCGAGGATAGTCAAATTCAAAAGAATCCAGGTATTCTCCTTCATACAGCTTCTGCTTCTTCTCGTCATATTCAGTCATTGTTAAGCCATTGAACTCCTTGATTACTCTTATTTCTTTTCCCTGCTCCCAATAGCTGACCTGGATTATCTTTGCATCGTTGTACATATAGCAAATTCCTTCTTTTCTCCCGAAATCATCTCGCTGACTAATACTTACCAATTTGTGCTCTGCGTTGTATTCTTTCCAATAATCATTCATTTCCTCTTTAGGGACGATGTTTTCGAGCTTGGTTCCCTTATCATAGAAGCCGTCGAATATCACATTGCCAAATTTGTCATACTCCGTTCCTCGGCCTTGGCGGTATCCCTTTTCCATTCTTCCCTTGAAATGCAGTTTGCCTGTCTCATAATTAAGTGTACAAGGTCCGGTTACCATTCCATCCACAAGAGTCAAATAGCCGAGTAAAACTCCATTTACACTAGTAACTGTACATTGTCCATCGATTTTGTTGTTCTTTACTATAGTATTGACATGAACATTCTCAAAAGGTTCTTCTAATATTATATTGAAACTTCCATTATTCGCAGTAAACTCTTTAATGGCAAATTTTCTTGATATGTTGCCTTCCCATGAGTGATCTTCGATTTCAGTCACTTCTTCACGTGTCTTCATAAAGCTTAAATTGCTTTCAAGATCAGTATTAATATTATTTTCTAAACCGTCCATTTTTGATTGTCAGAGTGGATTAAAAAATAATCTAAAATCTTTGTGGTTTCATTTCACTCTAAAATGCACCATATCATTGCATTGCATGTATAGTAGTACTATTGATTATCATGTGGTGTATAGTAATAAAGGCCATGATAATATACACTTTACTTATTGTTCTATAAGGCTTACGATAACTGTTGTTTCTATTATATTAGACATTACAACATAACTTCTTGTTTATGAGGATATATATATAAATATATATAAAACCACAATACATAATATCAGCAAACAGTTTTTAAATGTACCTTAAAAGAAAAGTTTAAAAGAGCTAATAGTAAAATTCACTTCATGATTTAAATATTTAGACACCAACGAATCTCGATAAATTGTATTTTAGATTCGATAGATTTATGCACATCTCTAATAATATCCTCTGAAGAATATAAGCAGTACCTACCTACAACACTTTACTATAGTAACCTCTATTGTATTGTACTGTTTTTCACTATGAATAGCAATTCTAACTATTTAGTTGAATAAAAAACACTGCTGTTGAAAAGCAATTGCTGTCCATCTAATTATATATATATATATATCCACAGATCATCCAATGAAAACAACCAACATTATGCATATGCTCTATTAGCTGATAATTATCCATGAATTTCAATCTCCAGTTTCTACATATCCTCTCGTGATGATCCAAAGCTCATCAGTATTAACAACTCTATGATATTATTCCTTATTCATTCTTATTGGCAATCGGTGTTTTTAAATATTCTGGAGGGGATACAAATATAAAATCAATTATACATATATCGATTAATTAAAACAATCAACCAAGGGGTTATGTGCAATCCAGAATAATGGAATTCCTGGATTTTGGCTTATTTCCTAAGTAAGCTTTCTCCTTTCAGATCTCAAGTACTAGAGCAATTGGAAATGAGTTTTATTAAGGCTGTACCTCGCTTGATTTGTCCAGTCAATATTTAGGTATTTCACACCAAGGAGGAGGAGATGAAGATTAACACTGAGAAGACTCACGAGATTTTTGAAACCCACGGTGCTCAAAGTGAGAGACTGTATTCAATTTTCTAAAATGGTTAATCCTTAAGGCATGCTGAATGGGACCGTTCTAAGAAGCCTACAAACTTTTGGAAGTGCAGAGAGAATCAATTGATTTACCAGCGAAAGACGATATCTCCGTAGGGGCTTGTTGGTTGTGGTATGAAATTTTAGCAACTACTACACCATGGGCTATGATGTAGAGACTGGAGAGAAGATTAAGGCAAACTGTGTTGAGTCCGTAAGGATTTGTGACCTCAAGTCACTTGTAGGCTTTGTATATCGCAAAGAAGCGTGCTGCAGCTATGAAATCGCAGTAAAGGTAGAATATATTACATTTTTCGTGTTTCCAACAAACAGTCAACTCAAAAGGGATGTAGATTTCGATAGTCCGTCCACTAAAGATTTTTGATACTTTCAGCTGGCAAGCGAGACGAGCACTGCATATCATGAGTTTACGATCCTTACTTTTTGGGAATGGACAGATTTGTAGATATTGCGATTTGTTCGTTTTTGGAAGGTGGATCCAATCGATTGTAGACATCTTGGGGCACAGAGACAAGACATTGACCACAAACTCCTTTTCCGCCGCAATGATCTATTGCTAACACCTCTAAATCTCGAACATTGGATTTTTGTCGTCGATGTAAGAGAAGCAAGCAATGGCTTTCCAACTTGCGCATCGATATCAATATACTGGATATCTCCATCTTCTCGAATTGATTTGATTGAAATAGGAACTAGGTTTCACATGTCCAAGACATCTCACCCGTCACTGCTTCTGAGAAGGTTCTACGCGCTAAAGGCGCGTTCTTCAGCCATCGACACCCGTTTCTTGCCAACAAACAAAACATCAAGCCAACTATGCCTGATCGGCCAGACAATACGCATTCTTCACGCACTGATGACAGCACGCATAGCCCCACTTCTCCTCCTCCCGATTGTACCACGACCCCCACACACTGGAGTGGTTCCCCGGGAACAAATCTTCCTCGTACTTCGACTTCGGAATTGCCTTGCTCTCACTCCCCTCCGTCTCCTCCTACCTGCGGCAGCCCCCTCACCACCTTCCCCTGTCGATCGTACTCCACATAATTCTCATCATCCCTCACTTCCGGCTGGTTTTTCTCGCTCTTCTTCATCATCTCGGCGTTGATCCCATAGCGCATCTCCAGCTTCTTCCGCCGCATTTCCTCCAGCTCGCGCTTCCGCTCCTCCACCTGCCTCTGCAGCAGCGCTACCCCTCATTCTCCGCCCTCTGCCCCACCCGTCGCCGTCGGCTGCGCCTCCACGTGCACGCTGCTGCCCTTCTGGCTCGCCTCCCACGCGAACTGCTGCGTCCGGCGGAAGTCCTGCACCTCGCTCGACGCGCGAACGAAGCTCTCTCCCGCGTAGTCCGAGCGCTTCTGCGCGAACTCGGCCTGGCCGCCGCGCATGCTGCGCGTTCGCGGGTCTGGGAGTGAGAAAGAGAAGAAGGGAAAGGGACCGTAGTACGCGGCGTCGTCGTCCAGGTGGAGAAGATAGTGCGCGGTGTCTTCGCGGATGCGCATGTTCCGAACCGACGTCTTGATCTTGGAGTCGTACTCCACGCGCTTCTTGGAACTGTCCACTGCGTTCAGATCCACCACGTCCGAGTCGTCCGAGTCGCTACGGGGAAGAGAAAACCGCGGGAGTACTCGGAGTCGGGGATTTGGACGTCGAGCTGGTCGCCTTCCTCGACGAGTTTCTCGCGGTCTTTTTGCTCTTTGGTGACGACGGTGTTGTAGTAGCGGCGATGATCGCCGTCCGGCTCCGTCATGAACTTCGAAGCGATTTCCTCCGCATGGGCGCGACGACGCTCTTCGTCCGCGCGACTCATGATCATTCGCTGTCGATTCACGATGGCACTGACGTCAGCGCTAGACTGTCATGAAGGAGATGCAAGATAAACCCATTCCAACGATCACGCTTGCCTTCGTAGGATAGATGTAATTCCTTGTTGATGTATTCATCAGGCATAATATCTTTGTTTGTTTTCCATGCTCCGCGTTTCCTTGGCGCATAAACGCAGTCTTTCTCTGTATGTGTCATTGAACCGCAGTTTCGGCAGGCTCCCTACCTTCGATACCATTTAATATATATATACTTTTCGGTATTTCGTTGCTTGGCCGACAAACTTTCCATGTTCGTAATGTTTATCAATCGAATCCCACTGTTTATCACGGTCTTCCTTTCTTTGGTGATGCAAATCATCTTTCTAGAGAAACAACGCAAACTATAATGAACTACATTTCCCTGCTCTAAGTACCAAGGAGCTTGTGAGACATACTTTGGGATGTAAGGATTTGCTGCTGAACCCTCTCCTTCCTTTGATGTCTTCGTTTTTTCTCTAAAACATCATTTGTTTGTGGTCAATGCCTACTGTTTTTGATTGTCGTTTGAGCTCATTCAAAATAAAGCAAAAACGTGGAAAACAAAAAAACTAAAGTCATACAAATCCTAAATGAAATCGCCAGTTTTAAAATTAGATGTGCAGTCGTTTATAACTAGTCTACTAGAGAAAAATGATGCTGAGGTCGTCGGAGGGTGAGTTTTGGCGGGGGACTCCTAACGTTATAGCATTATTCGTTCTCTCGCTGAGTCCTGCAGTGATTGGAACGGAAAATCTAAATTGAAGCGTTTGCGAAAGTTCATTAACAAGTATTGCCCCAATGTGATTGATAACATTGAATTGATGATAGGAATCACTGAAAATTGGAGAGTATATGGTTTATTTTTTCCTTTCGATTTAGTTTGAGGATATGTTGTGGCTTTTGAAGAAGCAGGGTTATCAGGGAAAGAGTATGATCAACCGTCTGAAGGCCTACGTGTCAAACGAGCTAATTGACGTTTGTTCGGAGGAGAGCAAGCAGAAGTACTTTATCATTACCTAAGTTTTATATGTAGAATTTTATCCATGAAACGCAAGTTTAGCTTGGAAGATATGAAGGACATTGTGTTATTAATGATGTTAGAGTCATCGGGATTGGAAGGATGGAGATTCGTGGCCAAGCTCGCAGAATGTTTGAATTGACTCATCGTCTTTTGATTCATAGCCTGGACTGAAGACAAACTGCAAGAGCTGGTGAAGATGATTCTGGGAGACGAGGAATTTGATGATGTGGGTCGTGGAAAGGATGGCGGCTTGTTCAAAGTGTTTCCGTATATGAAGGATCATGTGACGATTCGCGAAGTGATGGAGAGAGAGGAGGATACGGAGGGTAGTTTGGTGGATTTCATCGAGGATGACTTGGGAGAACGCGAAAAGAAGGGAGGAGCGAAGAGAAAGAGGAGAAGAGTGGCGAGTGATTCGGAGGACGATGAAGAGGATGATTTTGAAGAGGATAGCGATGAAGATGATGAGGAGGATGAAGAGGATGAAGAGGATGAAGAGGATGAAGAGGATGAAGGGGTTGAGGATGAAGATGAAGATGAAGATATGGATGAAGATGAAGATATGGATGATGAGGATGAAGATGAAGTTGAGGATTTGAGAGATGAAGATGTGAAAGAGATAAAGAAGGGGAAGAGGCGAAGTCATTCAGAGAAGGAGCAAGGAGTGAAACGTAGAAAGATTATTGTTATATCATCGGGCTCCGATTCGGATTCCAGTTGAAATGTTTTTTCAAATAAAAAAAGTTATTGAATACCAAATCTAACTCTTTTCTTCTTGACTATTTTCCAATGTACACACTCGCTTTGAGAGCGAATCAAGGATTGAACGGAGGTTACAAAGCGTTTCCTCGTCTTTTTGGGCACGTTCTGCATCGAATGAACACAAAATGGCACTAGAAACTACACATTATCAACTACACTGATTCTCACCTTCGGACTCGGTAACATTCTCCTTCCTCGATAATTTACACGAACCCAGAGTGTATACTTTAATCTTCTTCATATTGAACGAAAATATGTTTCTGTATATATCTGTCTCAACTGTTGTCGATTTGAACGTCATACCAACTACTTCTTTGCAACTATCACACTCCAATTCTAAATACGTAGCTCCACTTGCAGGTCCTTCATCCAGCAAATGTAGCTTCGGTAAAACGTTAACATTCGTTGCCTCTATATGGAAATATGAAAGAGAATAAGTTACTCTCCGACGCAATGATTTCCAAGTCTTTATCAACAATTATGTTACAACAAGAATCACATAAAATATTGTTGCATTTACTGCATTGATATACACAAAACGATGTAGAATTCATTTATTTGTAAACAAACACCCAACAACTAAACCATCGTGTTCATATTACATATTAATTTGTTGGTAAGATACAGCCGTATCAACGTTATGAACCTAGACTTCACAAGGCAAATCCTCACTCACATTCGTAGAAAACGATCTCAATTTCACTGTTTCTGCGTTCGGAATGAAGTGGGGGTCACTATCTTCCCACTTGAGCGGAACTTCGGCATTCCGATTCGTGTATACAAGAATTTCAAACGAGCCTATTTCAAATAACTCTACCAACTTTACATTGTTCTTCGTGAAGAGGAAGGAACGTTATCGAAGCAGTTATCTGACGGATAATTGCTTGAATCTCTTTCTGGATTTGATTGAGGTCTTTCTCGCGAGTAACGGATCCACGAGACTGCGCAACTTCGGGATCTGTCTCAACCCCAAAAGTCCAGCGTTCCAGCACTCGCTGACTGTCGATGCCGTAAATCACAAGAACCAGTGTGTGAAGGTCATTCGATTCAATCCAAGCTAAAAGTTATGATTCACGTGACGAGAATACCCTTGACTTGACTAACCATATTCGAAATATATCTATAGAGGTCTTCTTGTTTAGCAATTACCATAGGCAAACCATACTTTTGCACTCGACTAAAGTAATCGGGAGGATAAAGTCCTCTTTGATATAAAATGCTGCATATTAATTGATATACAAAAGACAATACGTGTTGATGCTGTATTCAAAATACTCTGACACAATTTGCGCAGATCCCTTTAAAGTGATAACACTCGATGATTGAGTTGACTGCTATAAATAATCGTCAAATATTTCAAAAATACCATCACAGAAAAGAATCTGAACAATTATACACCCTTTTTCCTGAAATGAAACGCCTCCTCATTTTCCAATAACTCATCTGACGTGGTGGATTATCTCTGTTATTGGAATTTTTTATAGAGAACCATGTCAACAGGACAAATGGATGATATTAATTCCCTTATTGACTATTTGGAGTTGATTGATATGCCCAAGGCTGCAGCTGCTGTAAAAGCACTTTCAAAAAAAATCGTACTGCCTTGTTAATGGAATAATTTGTAGTCGAATAAGCGAGACTTTTCTATGTGCGATGATGCTATTTTCGATGAACTAAAGTGTGCTTTTGTATCAGCATGTAATTTATAGGAAGCTGAAGCTATCATTAGATGAAGAGTGGAGTTCCAGTGTTAATAATGGAACTGAAGCGTCGAGTTCAAGTGCATCTTCTAGCAGTTCTGATTCTTCTTCTGAAGAGAAATCGGGTGAGGACTCTAGCTCGGAGTCTGAGTCTGAGGAAGAAAAGAAGGAAGAGGAAAAGGAGGAATCATCTAGCTCCGATAGTTCCGATAGCTCCGATAGCTCCGATAGTTCTGATTCTGAGGAAGAAGAAGAAAAGAAGGAAGAGGAAAAGGAGGAATCATCTAGCTCCGACAGCTCCGATTCTAGCTCCGATAGTTCTGATTCTGAAGAGGAGAAGGAAGAAGAAGAAGAAAAGAAGGAAGAGAAGGAAGAGGAAAAGGAGGAATCATCTAGTTCCGACAGTTCCGACAGTTCCGACAGTTCCGATAGCTCCGATAGTTCTGATTCTGAGGAAGAAGAAGAAAAGAAGGAAGAGAAGGAAGAGGAAAAGAAGGAAGAATCGTCTAGTTCGGATTCTAGCTCCGATAGCTCTGATAGCTCGGATTCTGAGGAAGAAGAAGAAAAGAAGGAAGAGTCGTCCAGTTCCGATAGTTCTGACTCGGATAGTTCTGAAAGTTCCGATTCTGAGTCTGAGTCTGAAGAAGAGAAGAAGGAAAGCTCGTCCAGCTCGTCTAGCTCATCGAGTTCTGAATCTGAATCTGAATCTAAGGAGGAAGAAGAAAAGAAGGAGGAATCATCTAGTTCCGATTCTAGTTCCGATTCTGAATCTAAGGAGGAGGAAGAGAAGAAGGAAGAGAAGGAATCATCTAGCTCCGATAGTTCGGACAGTTCCTCTTCGGATAGCTCGGATTCTGAGGAAGAAGAAGAGGAGGAAAAGAAGGAAAGCTCGTCTAGCTCTGAATCCAGCAGTTCTGAATCGGAGGAAGAGAAGGAAGAGGAAAAAGAAGAAAAGGAGGAGGAATCGTCCAGCTCTTCTTCGGACAGCTCCGATGATAGCTCCGATTCGGACAGTTCTGATTCTGATTCTGATTCTGAGGAAGAAAAGGAAGAGACAAAGGAATCGTCCAGCTCTTCTTCGGATAGTTCCGATTCAGACAGCTCGGATGACACTTCCGATGATAGTTCCGATTCGGACAGCTCCGATTCCGATAGTTCGGATTCCAGCAGTGATTCCAGCAGTGATTCCAGCAGTGATTCCAGCTCAGACTCGTCCTCCGATCCGGACAGCTCCGATTCCTCCTCCGAGGAAGAAGAAGAGGAGGAGAAGGCGAAGCCTGCAGAGGTGGAGTGGGTTCCCAAGGAACTTCCGCCTCCAGTCAAGCCTCTTCCAGCCTCGGTACTGGTACAGCGCTGGCTTCACCTCTAGGATCACACTCCCTTCAAGCGCGTCGATGAGTCCTGGCTGAACACCATCCAGAAGAAGGAGCTCCTCGATAATTCCTGTACCCAGAGGCAAGAGCGAGCTTGACATGTAGATGAAGGAACCTATGGAAACACTGGCTATGGAGCCAAGGCCAGCAACGTTCTGATCAAGGTGAGAGGAAAAGACTTCCGTCGCGAAAAGACGAAGAAGAAGCGAGGAAACTACATGGGCGGCCGTATCAGTTTTGACGTGAAGTCTACAACGTTTGATGAGTAATAAAAAGTGTATTTAAGAATTGTTTAGTTTCTTTTTTGTTGGAAATTGAAATCCATAGTAAAATCGAAATCCATCGTAAAATCGAAATCGTTATCAATGTTGAAATGAGTGTTATAGTGAATATATACAAATCATAAAATCACTGAACAGTTCCACCTTTCCCTTATCAAGAAAAGGTCATCTTTTGTAGAATACCTATCGTATCCTTACTTTAATTGCTCGAGCAACCAGTATGTAGGTGGAATCTGAGCTGTCGTAAAGATTAGAATGCAGCAGTATGTTTGGAGAAGATCCTTCTCAGTTCTTGGGAATCTGACTCACGCATTTTGGAATACGATGACGTACGGAAATGCGGGAAGTATTCCGATGAAAAGTCTGTGGAAGAATAAAACAGAGCTCCACGACATGGGACGGATGCAGACGTTTATAAACCAACTTCCTCCGAAAACTTACGTAAAAGATTGGTCGATTCCTGTAAAGAAATCAAAAGCGCAAACAAATCAATGGTGTAAATGTTCGAACCCGGTAGAAGAGCCTCCATTTGCGAGATATGCGAGACGTAAGGGTAGAAGAGAAAGTCAGTGGAATCGACTTTAAGTCTGTTTTTCCGTGCTATTTATTTTGTTCTAATGTCGTTCTTTGTTAAAACCAACACGAAGATAGTATACATGCAGTTGAAGCAAAAGTTTAATCACAATGCTCAGCAGAGGCATACAGACTGGCGACATGACACGCGTCCTTTCGTACTTGCTGGTTCCACGAGTTCTTCGAAACGAACATCACGGTGCTGGACAGGGCGTTCCAGGACTCGTTCATATTCTGCTCCTGACGAAGCATAAATCGAGCGAAATCCTCGCCGTCCCACAGCTTGAGCGTTCTCTCAGCAACAAGAAACTTGCTGCTATTAATGCAACGGCGCAGCCGTGCCATCAGCGGATGAAACACGGGATTTAACAAGCTGGGATCCACCGCGGCGATGATTTTTTCCAGTTCGTCGAGTACTAAAATCTCGCACTGCGTGTTGTATTTGGGCCAATAGCGCAATATTCCCTGGATGATCTACGGCTCACGACATCGCGAGGGCGGCTACAGGGGTCACGAGCTTTGAATCCTGGGAGATGAAAAGCAAAAGGCAGTGAGTGAGCGTGTTGCTGAACTCGGAGAGACGGTCCAGTTTGTGCAGAGGAAGGATACAATGCGTGAGGAACTGGATGTGTTCCTGCTTGATCGGCAGCACGAACCCACACACGATGGAGCTGTAGATGGTCAGAATCTCGTCCACGCCCGCCACGCGATCGTTGAGAAGGATGATGTTGCTCAGCATCTCGGCGAAGACGTGCCGAATCAGCGCGCGGCGCTGACAGAGCTTGCTGTAGAGATGATGGAGACAGAGACGGACCATCGACCGCTCGCGGAGGTCCTGAGAGAGCAGGAGATACTCGTATTTGCGGATGAAAGCGTTGGAGATCGTTAGACGGAGGCTATCGATGCGGATCTGAGGACAAGTGATCTGAGGAGATGAGAGAGAAAGAGAGAAAAGAGAACGAGCTTGAGGAGGAATTCGTGGGTGAGCTCGAGGAACTCCCAGTCTGGATCCAGGAAGGGGACCTCGGCATCCAGAGCGTTGAGTTCGAGGTGTTGAGGGGAGGACAGAGGACGAAACAGCACGTAGCTGAACATGCGGAAGCAGTCTTCCAAGGTGCCCAATCCGCAGAATAAGTCGCCGTCGCCGATCTCCACAATGTTGATCAGCTCTTGGATGGTGTCGTAGCGAATTCGGATCTCGTTCTTCTTTGTTTCGTCCTCCAGGTCTAAGCGCGTGCAGCAAATCCGTAGCTTTCGCCACAGAAGGGGACGGATTTGATAGTCTGGGACCACTGAAAATGAGGAAAGAGAAAGGAACGCTATACTCAAAAGCAGAGGCAAAGCGACAAAGATTTTGTCATTTTCATCTTCTTTCTCGTATATGTCACCTAATAAGGTAAGCATACGCACGCACAAAAACGAACTTGAAATTGTCTCAGGAAGGGAAAAACGCAAAAAACAACTTAGCCAATCTTCGCGTATTAAAACGCTGCTGCAATAAACTTCCAAAGTATCGATCTTTTTGTTCCGCTTCTCGTTATCCTACAAGGCACTCGACAATCACAAAAACTACGTGAATTTCGATCAAAATCCCATACTTCTTTAGTAGAGGCTCCTTAATAGTCTTAAATACGGAACACTATTCATTACGAAGAAGATCTGTACGAACTTTCAATGATATATCCTTATCAATTTCAATTTCGTTAGTCGAGCTCTTAATAAAGAGACGATCTCCAGCAATTGTCTAAAACGGGTAAGAACAGGCACGAAATGAAAAAGTCAGATTGAAAACTATGACACTCATCTGTGAGCAGCAAAAATGCGCATCGACATCACGAGTCCTCGCAATCATCCTCCACAATAGAACAACAATACTTACACAAATGCATTCAATTAGAGCTTTAGATTCTAAATCGAAAACGAATAAAGGCCCTTCTTTCTTTATCGACTTTCTGTACTCTCCAATATAGACCTGATGGTTCGTCATCTTTTGTAGAGCCTTATTCTCAACGAAAATTTCAGGTCAAGATATCTCAGGAATACACAATTTAATGAGATTGGTTATTACTCCATCAGAGAGTTGGCGGAAATTCACCAAATAACCGCAATTGTAGAAAATGAATAATGCTTTTCGCGTTTTTCTCATACTGATCAATTCTTGTTTGAAATGAAGCGATGGAAAATGCTCTACACTGCACAAAGAATAGGTGGTGCGCTCCGTTAGCAAAAAAGTGATTTACACAAACAAGTGATTTTCCCTTCCTCTTCGCATAACGGATAAAACTCTTTCTTTCAATCTGCAATTTTCCATCCTTCTCGCTCAACATAAACCGAGCGTTGGCCAAAGTACCAAAGCGTTTCTTCATTACCAGCTTATTCCAATTGTAATCCTTTCCCTCCCGACGTTCCGCGCGATTGCTGTACCGATCTCTTCCTTGGTGGATCGTCACAATCTGTTCCGCCATGTCGATAACCACGCCCTTGTACGTTCCCCAGTAAATCATATACGCGTCCACATACGACCGCGCAATCACAATATCCTCAAACGTCATGTTGCGAAACTCGGGCGTCAGGATAAACACGTCCTACATTTAACAGGGAAACGGAGAAACCGACCACGCTGGACGCGGGTCGCTGTCCATAATTCCGATTCATGAGCTTGTCGAGAGCCCGCTCATAGGTCGAGAGGGTGAGGGAGTCTTTGAAATCGGGGACGGCGGTGTTGAAAGAATTGTGGCAGAGCTCGATCTAGGATTCGAAGACGGAGAAAGAGAGAGAAAACCATGCGGGTTGGGTAGTGAAGACGCTTTTGCTCCATGACGAAGGGCAGAATCGAGAAGATCTGGGGGCTGAGGAGGATATCGGCGTTGATGTAGCCGTAGAAGTGGGCGTCGAAGAGAGAAGCCGCGCGCTGGAAGAGACTGCCGATGTAGGGAATGCCGTAGGGGTTCTCTTGGATGTCGTAGGAGGTGGTAAGGCCGAGCGTGTTGCACAATTCAATGATGGAAGCGGTAGTGGTAAACACGATGGAACGGCAACTAAACTCTTGCTGAAACAAGGCCATCATCTTGAGAGTGTTTCTCACCTTTTTTGTGAGAACAACCTACAATAATTATAATAAATGTAAAAAGCATAGAAATACTTCCGTAGTGAACAAAACAAGCATATACGTTTCATTTGGAGTAGCGATAGTGGAATTCGAAACAGATGGAGTAGAAGAAACGTGTTGCAATGCGTTTGATTCAGGAATCGATGGCACAGAGGAATCAAGCTCAGATGATAGAGTAGGTGGTACAGATGGAATGATTGGAGTTGGAGGAATCACGGCAGATGGAAAAACGGTTGGTAATTTTACAGAATCAGACCTATCCCTCAGAAAACAGAAGAAAACAAACATATCTTCGGACAAATAAATGTATGTCTTCACATGGCTGTACTTTTGCTCAATTTTCGAAGTGTTGAACTGCGAACCTAGAATTCTGTACAACGCGGTCAAGTATATTGCCGTAAAAACCAAAAACAGGATTCTAATCGCACTCATGAGCAAAAGTGTAAAACAATCGTGAACCGGATTTCTGTAATTCCACTATTTGCCACGAATCTTGATGGTTTCTATTTTCACCTCAAATAGACTTGAATGCTTAGTATCTCCAAATTGATTAATTGCGCTAGTCGTGGCATATCCAATACTGCACGAAATCCACGATTCGTTCGGAACTTGTTAGCAGCTGGATATGGAAGTCGGAATAATGGGAATTGCTGCCGTATCCTACATTTATGTGCGTAGTCTCATAGTTTAGAAAGCAGTTTACGTAATTTCTCCGTATTTGCCGGATTGAAGCGAGATATCCTGCTCCCAAATGTAGTTATCCTGGGAACGGGTGGCACAATTGCGGGAAAGGGAGACAGTTCCATGAACACGGCAGTTTATAAAGCGGGTGCCATGGATGTGAATGATTTAGTAAAGGGCACACCGGAAGTTCTGACAGTTGCGAATTGTGTTGCGAAGAGCGTGCTTCAGAAGCCCTCTGAGAACATGAAGGTGAAAGACTGGATCACTCTTGCCACCAAGGCTCAAGAGTACCTCGACCAAGACGACGTGGACGGTATTGTGGTAACGCACGGAACGGATACGCTGGAGGAGAGTTCCTTCTTCTGCCACTTGGTTCTTCACTCCGACAAACCGGTTGTTTTTACGGGCGCCATGCGTCCTGCCACTGCTTTGAGCGCCGACGGTGGCCTCAACCTGCTGAACGCTGTGATTGCTGCTGGCTCGAAAGAGACGCGCGGCCTGGGATCGTTGGTGGTAATGAACGAAGAGCTTTATTCTGCTCGCGATGTGACCAAGATCAACACGTTCAAAGTGAACTCCTTTGGAAGTGCGGATGTGGGTCCTCTGGGTTTCATTCAAGAAGGCTACATTTATCTCTACCACCTCCCTTACAGAAAGCATTCGCTGCAGTGTGAATTTGATTTGAAAGTCTTTGAAAAGACGATTCCGAAAGTGGATATTCTTTATGTGTATCCAAGCCTGGATTTGGACATTCTCATGTATTACTTGAAGCACAACGATGGATTGATCATCGCTGCGTCGGGGAATGGAAGTATTAGTGACGACATTTTGCCCATCTTGGAGCAGCACAAGGACAAGTGCGTTATTGTGAGAGGAAGTCGATGTGCCTCGGGAATCGTCACCCCGAATCCTGCTTCGGATCGACACCTCCGCCTAGTTTCTTCAGGAAACCTTTCGCCTCAGAAAGCTCGAGTCTTGCTGATGATGGCGCTTACGATTACGAATGATCCTGAGAGAGTTCAAAACATATTTAATATGTATTGGTTGTGTTTGTTGCAACGATCGAATCTCTTCTGATACTTCAAAGCTCAAGTAGATACTATTCTTCAGAGATTTTTTTGAGCAACTCTCTCTAGACTCTGAGATAGATCATTTCTCATGCTTCGAGCAGCTTTTTCTTCCCGATTCCTCTTCGGCCGTTCGATTTCCAAACCTCTCTGTAATTTGTTTTCTACAAGTCGTGTCCTTCCAAACGATGGTAAAACTCTGGATGATTTCTTTGATGTACTCGAGTGGATTGGTATTCACGAATAGAAGCAATCTCCAACCACGAGCCATCATGCATCATACTCGGAAGAAGTGAAAAATCGGTTGAATGGTCATTCGTTCGTGATTGAAACTTATGGGTGTCAAATGAATCGAGCGGATAGTGAAATCATGGAAACCCTTCTTTCAGAGTGTGGGATGACGGAGAGTAAGAATGAAGAAGAGGCAGATGTTATCATCATGAACACTTGCTCGGTTCGCGAGCATGCAGAATCAAGGGTGCTGATCATTTTGATGTATTGAGAGGATTAGATTTGGAATCGCTTGAAGCAGTTCCGAAACCTTGATAAAAAGTACAAGAAAAGGACTGTAACGCAGAACTCAGAGTTTGATTGGGTAGATTCTTTGTATTTCTGGTTGCATGGCCACGCGTCTGCGAACGAAACTTCTTGAATCGGGCGTGGATGTCGTTGTCGGTCCTGATTCCTATGTCCATCTTCCTCCCCTCATCTTCGACGCCTTTGTACTTCGCTTCGATTCGCTTCGAATTCGTTGTAGAACGGCAAGCAAGCCTTCCACACCGAGCTCAACGGGAACAACGACTACGACGCGATCTCCCCGTCCTTCCTGGAGCCGCTCCCCGCGACGCAAATCACCATCATGCGAGGCTGTAACAACATGTGTTCCTATTGCGTGGTTCCCTACACACGCGTACTGGAAGTGGATGGGATGAAGGGTAGGGACGAGAACGGAGCGTGGACGTGGACGTTGTGCTTCGCGAAGTGAAAAGAGCGGAAGAACATGGGTACAAGGAGATCATGCTGCTCGGACAGAACGTGAATTCCTACTGCGATCGATCGCATCTCGCGAAGGGATCCGAGAAATACGAAACCACGCCGGGATTCCGATCCCCCACGTCGACCAAAGCCAAAACCGGGATTCTATTCCCGGAGCTGCTGCGACTCGTCGCGGAAGAAGTTCCCGAAACCAGAATTCGGTTCATGTCGCCACACCCCAAAGTAGAAATCGGTGGACGGAAGATTTACCTGAAGGATTTCCCGATGTCCGTGCTGGAAGTCATCGCCGAGCATCCGAATATTTGCCGATCGCTGCATCTGCCCTTGCAGTCTGGAAGCAATTCCTGTCTGCAGCGAATGAACCGACCGTACACGCGCGAAGCGTTCATTCAATTGGTGGACGCGATTCGATCGATTCTTCCGGACTGCGCGATCAGCACCGACGTGATCGCTGGATTCTGCGGGGAAACCGAGGCGGAGCACGCGGACACGGTGGAGTTGATGAGGGAAATCGGATTCGATCATGCGTTTATGTATCTGTATAGCATGCGAGAAAACACGTATGCGTGGAGATACTTCAAGGACGACATTCCTCTGGAGGTGAAAAAGCGAAGATTGGTGGAGATCCAGGACGCGTTTTATTCGACGCTCCGCGAGAAGCTTCCGTCGCAGAAAGGGAAAGTGGAGTTGGTTCTGGTGGAGGGAGAAAGCAAGCGGAGCAAGCCTGGAGAAATGCAAATGAAGGGTCGATGCGACGGAAATCGAATGTGTGTGTTTGATGGTAAAGAGTGGAGGGAGGATTGAATGGAATAGTGAAGCCAGTGTTTGAAACGATTCAGGATTATCGAGCCAATGCAGAGGGAAAACGAACCAAAGAGATCCGCGTGGGAGAGTATGTCGCTTGTAGGATCGAAACGCCAGGGACGGGAACGCATGTCGTTCAGCCATTGTTCAAGACATCGATTCGCGAGTTTGATGAGTGGAAAAAGTCCTTTACATCGCTTGTTTGTTGAAAAAACAAGGCCTCTATTCTTCGTCTTTACAGGAGCGGTCGTCTCCAATCAAAACTCCATGGAAAAGCTGGTTGTAGATCAATCGCAAAATGTTTCTAGTTGGGAAAACGATGGAAATCCTACTTGAGCCACAAGATTTGGAGGAGCTCTAGCAGTCCAAAGAGGGTGAGGAACACAGGCTTGGACCAAGTTCTCGAAACAAAGTATCCGTGAGCTGGATCCCAGATAATCGGAAGGTATTGCTGTGCCTGCGTCGCAATGCTGACCATAACAACGATCACGAGATAGTGGCGCGTATAAATCCAGAGAACTACAAAATCGATGAGGTAAAAAGTATAAGAAACCGGTGAAAATCGCGAAGCAAATGTATCCAGGAATCACCCACCAAGCATATTGCATAATCTTCGAGAGTGAAAGAAGTCCCTACAAAAAAAATAAGGTAGAGTACAAGGTACATCAGCACAATCGAAGATGGCAAATACCACAAGTCCAATGCGCGTAAAATTGGTGATGTACGATATTGTGATGAGCGCGATTGTGATGATGTGGTGCTACAGTCAATTCATCATAAATGTATTTACGATAAACATCGCCCACATATCTTTTCGGTGCTTCTACACATCAATGAAGAGAATCGGGGTCACCTCTGTGAACAAAAGAACGATAAGATGGAAGTAAAAAGCACACTGGATCATGTAAAACACCTTGAAATCTGTGGGATAGGTGAGCACAGGATAATCGAGCCATACATTCTTCATCGAAAATCCCACATATTTGTAAACCAAAGACAATCCTGTAGAAAATGAAAAGGTGTAATAGAGAACCATCCAACACTGTTCCTATTCGTCAAGTTCAAAGAGTGTGGAAACCTGACATTTGTGAACGATTTGAGGGTTCTCCAAACTGTTTTCGATTTTGAGCCATTTGGCAATGAGACTGAACAGGGTGTTGCACAGAAAATAGCGAACAATCAAGAGTAGAAACGTGAACGAGACCACTGTATATAGGTCATTAATGCTCTTTTCGTAGAGGGTCTGACCCTCAACATCAATTTTGCCATGGATTTGAAAGAAGGGTGTTAACCAAGAAACCCAGGAACTGGGCAAAACAATCACCAAATAGAAACTAATAATCGCAATATAGGCCAGGATTGTTCCAGTATAATCGCGGAAGAACAAGTGAATGGGACTCATGGAGTCATCGATACTAGAGGTGATCACGTTGATTGATTGGGTGATACTTGTAGTTGATCATCAGTTCCGGATTTTTCACTGCTTCGTCCACAGCAGCAATTCCAGAAGAAGATGCTTCTGGTTTCATCGCAATTATTACGCTCAGGGTTAGTAACAAAAATGTAGTCTAAACAAATCGTGAAGCACTTGTCAAACATCCCGAAACTTGTCAAACAAACAAAAAACTCAAATTTCACTATTTCCACGTAGTAGTTGATTTTCCTGTCATCTTTCTTTCCCATCACCACTGCAATCATGTTTCGCTCCGGATTGCAGGCGAATAAATCCGAGTATTCCGAGATGGAGAAGCTGAGTTTGATCTTTTCGTTTCCAGGCTCCACGAGCGAAACCAGGTGGTTATCGCCACTGATAGCAATATATTTGCATCGTGAAGTAAAACGAGCCCGCTTCGCCGCCGTTCTGCAATGCAAGGAAATCATTACACTCCTACGGACATCGAATCCTTGAAGAGACGCAGCAGCATTGCAGATTCATAGCATAGCAAAACTTGTCCGTTGATGCGGTGCACATCTGTTTCTGTGTTCGATCGATGTCCATGGACACACATTCACCATAGCCCACCGGAATCTGCATGTAAGGTACGAGTGAAACAAACCACGAGGGTGGGAGACACGAAGCCTTGATTTGGATCGTAGGATTGGATGTGCACAGCCGCGCGCTGTTGGTCTGACAGATCAAAACCCGATGCAATGCCCTACCATCTTTCGAAGCAAAAAGCACATTATAGAGCGTGTCCTTGATCATAAATATGTCATTGCACTAAAGAATTCAAAGGAAAACAAACAAGATACAATGGTAAACTTCATGTTGGATTCGTGCAATACTTTCCCCTGCTTAGCGTCCACCATGAACAGGGTGCCTTTCTACCATAGTGACTTCCAGCACGAAACAAACATCGTTCAGAACAGTGATATAAGATCCATCGGGAGACCAACACATGTGATCTGGGTAGCCCGTCAGCGTAATTGTGAATGAGAACTCTGACTAATCGATTGCTAGACAGCCTACTCTCGTTTTTGACATCCCAAATCTTGAGAGTGTCCCTTTCCATGGTACATGCTATCACATTCTTGTCTATTGGACTCCACTTGATTTGTAGGACTGTGTTATTTACAGAATACGAATATTCAGGCTTCTACCACTCAAACCTGCCAAAAAGCAGTACAGTTGTGTGTTTGGGATTCCAGATTGTGATTGCTTTGTCTTTTCCACCGAATGCAAGTAGAGAACCATCACAATTCCAGTCAATTGCCTTAATCTGTGCATTACACTCCAATCCCGCTTCTACTTTCTCATTCACCTCCATGGGCTTCGATCGATCCACGTTTGTAATATGGTAGTCGATCTGCATTTTAATGATTTCAAATTGAATCTGTGGAATAGGATGTATTCCCAATGCGAGTAAATAGCTGTGTAGATTCGAATAGTAGAAGTGGACATGTTGGTAGGGAAAGGAGGGAAGGAACCAGGAGTCGAAGTGTAATAGGAAGTGAAATGAATAACACAACATGGGCGATTAGCTTACTAATTTAAAGGAAATTAGATAGATTCATACATGAATTAACAAATTATCAATATCCGAATAATGCTATAGAAATAATGCGAAGAATAATTGATTTCATTATTAATCCATTCCAATTAATCTAAATTCTATTCTCTTTTACTTAGGAATTCAATTTCCTTTCTATATTCAATTCCATTCTATATTCACGAGAATAGTAGAATACACACAAATAAAATAACAAATGAAAATACGATATTAATTCTCAATAATTAATGATTTCAACATTCCCATGAATTCTTAATTCCCTTCAATTAATAATAATAAGAAAATAAATTCATTAAACAAACACACAAATCCATCAACAACTCTTTCAACCCTCCAAACTTCTTCCCAGCACTCGCCACGAACTCCTCCAGCCGCTCTGGCTCCCTTTCCTTCAGCAGATAGAAGGCGCGAATGCAGTCTTCCAGCTCGCCGTTCTCGGCACCATCAATGAGAAGATCGCCGATGGACGCGTCGTTCGCGTCCTTGTGGGCCATCTGACGGGCTATCATGACATGGCTGTGATACTGGCTCATATCGGCCTTCTCTTTGTCCATGGCCAGCCACGCTTCGATGCAGGGCGCGTTCTGCACGGCCTCTTGATACAGCTTCGGCTCCTTCTTCATTTCGGCCCACTGCGCGACCAGCATCATCGCGTCGGCGTCGTCCTTAGCGTAGAGCAGCAGCTCGGTGACCACGTCCTTGACAAGCTCGAGCGGTTTCTCGGAGGCGGCGAGGCGCAGTCCGTCGGGATCGTCGTCGTCGGGGAACTCGGCGCCCTTCTTGTGCACGACTTTCGGCGTGAGCGTGTGCGTTCTCTTGTACTCGGCGAGATCCAGCGGGCGGGCGGCGAGCTGCAGGACGACGCGGAGCGCGCCCTTGGCGGCTCGTCGGTAATAGGGATGATCGCAGAGCGCGTCGATTCGGTGCAGCCAATCGATGTACGTGGTGAGAATTCCCTTGCGCAGCACGTATTGGTGGAAGTCGAACTGGTCCTCCACGAACGTCGTGAAGTGTTCCAGCACCGCGAAATACTGTTTCATGGCACGTGGCCAGTCCTGCCGCTTCTCGTAAGCCTCTCCGCACTCCAATTCGAACCAACACGCCTGCAGCAAGTTCAAATCGATGCGGCACGGAACGTCTTTCCGCGTCCAGTACGCGATCCTCAAATCCGCCTCCTCCACACACCCCGCACGCAGCAGATATTTCACGTGCTTCGTGTTCAGGAACCGATCCCCGCGGTCCAGCCCGCTCCCCGCGCCAATCGTGGTTGCCGCGCTTTTCAGCGCGCCCATGTGCTTCTGCACGCGCGCCTTGATCAAGTACAGATCGTAGCACGTGGGCGTGTGCATGTAGGCGCGCTCCAAGTACCGCAGTGCGTCGTCCCACCGATTCTCCGCATCGCTCAGTTCCGCCAAAAACAGAAGCAGCCACAACGCCGTTTGCGGCTCTTCCGCGGGAATTTCGGGGCTCGGCGGGGCGGTCACTCGGTCGAGGAGTTTCTCCGCGATGGATTTTGCCGCGCAAAATTTGGCGGGGTCGCGAAGCACGTCGCGAACGGAGCGGAAAAAGGAGGGAATTCCCTTCCGCGCGGTCCGCAGCAATTCCTCCTCGAATGTTCTTTCGAATTCCTCGCCTTCTACCAGGCGCAGGCGCCGATGCCGCACTGCGAGGGACTTGGGGAACCGGCTCTCCAGCCCCTCGTACAGAGGTCGGAGTTTGGTGCGTTCTTCGTGCGTCCAATCGTTTCGATTCTCCGGGTTTTCGATTCCGTCGAGCGATCCCAGCGCGCAGCCCTCCAATCCCCGCACGAAAAGCACGTCGTCCGCGTTGCTCTCCATCAGACGCAGCCACAGGGCCTCGCTTCCCGCCAGATCTCCCGCGTAGCCGCGGTAAATCGCCTCTTTTTGGCGGGCTTTGTCTTCGTCGAGAATGAAACGCATCCCCGATTGAATGACGTCGGCGGCTGCCGCGAACTCCTTCTTCTGCGCGTGGCATTCGGCTTCGAGGAAGTATAATTCTTGCGTGATATAGGAGGGCGTGCAGGGCGTGCCGGTGCGGAACGTCGTGATGATGTCGATGCAGACATCGTAGGATTTGCTGAGGAACGCGCCGACGACAAAGCCAAGCCAGAACGTGGTGTTTCCAGAGCGCTGCTGAAGGAGTTTGTTGCGGGATTTGTAGAAACCGTCGTAATCACGCGTCTGCACTTGGAGATCGGCTAGATCGATGACGATCTGGATGTTCGAGGGATCTAGCGAGTGGGCAAACTGAAAAGCCTTTCGGGCTTCCACATATTTCCTGCACTTTACACCAACCCACGCACTCTCACTTTAACGTACGCTTGAAAATTCCGTACAAGTGCCAACAAACGCAAGTCGAACGACCCAGCATGATTCCCTGCTTTAATCCCTTTTCTGCCTCCTCCTTGTTTTTATCAATATTGTACTTGATGATCGCCCTCATCGAGATTAGCTCTATCCAGTGAGCCAATACCGAGCACGTTTACTTCCATTTTGGGGATATTCCTTCAACATCGCTTCACAAAGCTTGAGTCCCTTATGCCACTCCAATTTCTCGAACGCTTTCTACTCCTGATACACCAAAAAAGGCGTTCTACGACAATCGTCTGGAACTGCTTCTCTTTCGCTTCTGGCAGATACTGAGAATCGTCCACTTTCTTCGCTTGCTCTTTCGGCATTGCAAGATTCACACCAACACAAAACTGTTCCCTTCTCAAACAAACAAACCAACAAGCGCGCACTTAATCCGAATCCACGGCTTCCTGCAGCTCGAATTGCAGTTCTCCTCCCGTCGTATCCAGACCCAGACCCAGACCCAGATTCTGACCCAGGCCATGACTCTGACCCAGACCCAAACCCAGGCTTTTCTCTTCCTGCGATTCCCCGCTCTCGCATCGAATACAGCGCAGATGCACCGGCTCTCCCTCCTTCACGTTATCCAGCCGCCCGCACACGTGCTCCAGACACGTTTTGTGGTACAAGTGCCTACACACATCATCCCATTCCCATCATCCCCACGAGCAATGGAACGCCACCACAGCTGGCGGTGGGCACGTTCGCGTAGCCTTCCGAATCTGGAAGAGTTCTTGCTGGCAGATCGTGCAGAGCGCGTCGGGATCGAGCCGAATTCCGGCCATTTTGGACTTGACTCTACGCTTCAAAACCCGATCACAGCGCTACAGCCGCTCGTACAGCTCGGCCATATCGCTGGTGAGAATGGTGTTGCAGCCCTGCCGCAGCTCGAGCTCGAGAGAATAGTTGTCGAGGACGTGGACGAGCTTCTCCTTGAGCTGGGGGATCTCCATCTGCGGCGGAATGCACTGCACCAGCGTGATCGCGTTGATGTACTCCCCCGCGCGGTCCAGCAGCGCTACGCCTCACGGCGGTCCCAGACAGCCTACCGCCCACGAAGGTGGGTTTGGAGATGGAGTACTTGACGAGGTCGTCCCAGAGATCGCGGTCCTTCCACTTCTGCACGAACTCCAGCGCCATGTCCACATCGCCGAGGTCCTGCACGATCATGTGCAGCGCACGCGACGTGTCGCCCAGCCGCGAGTACAGGTAGATGGCCTCGCGGATGCGCGGCTTCGCGGAGTGCAGGCAACGATTCAGCGCGGTGGGCACGTCGTATTCCTGCGAGGTCTCGAGGAAAAAGAGCAGGTCGGGGGAGTCGAACTTGAGCAGCAGGTCGAGCTGCAGCGCGTGCAGCGCCTTGAACTCCTCCGTGTTGTACTCCGAGGTCCGGCGATTGAACAGCTCGCGCAGATAGGCCTCCTGGAACGCGGGCTCGCTGCTCAGCTGCTGCACGACGTCGTTCGGCTACGCCTCAATCCGCCCTCCGGTCCACACATTCACTTCGTTCATGTGCTCCACCAGCAGCACCGACGCTTGCTGCACGTTGAGCCGGAACAGCTGCAGCGCCTTGTCCTTCACGTGCTTCACCAGCCCGTTCTCCTCCACCCACCGGAAGAACGAGCAGTTCTCCACGTTCTGCAGCCCGTTCTCGAGGTACACGTCCACCGCCTGCTCCATCGCTCCCGTCATCGCGTACAGCTCCGCCAGCGCCTCCAGCAGGAACGGGTTGTTCTTCGCGCCGCGCTGCGCCTTCTGGCTCTTCACCATCCCTTCTAGCAGATGCAGCAGCTGCTTCGGGTCGTACAGGTCGTTCCCGTCGCCCTGCGGCCGCGGCCACGTGCGCAGCAGCGACAAGAACGACCGCACGTCGTTGTACAGGAAGTAGTTCAGGATCAGCGTGTACACCGGCAGCGGCAGCCGCGGGTCCGCCAGCGGAATGTGTGGCAGCAGCACCTGCAGCTTGTTGTTCCCGTTGAACCGCGCGATCCAGCGCTCCCAGAGCTTCGCGTCCTTCCCCAGATAGGCGGGGCAGAGCTGCGCGGCCTTCTCGATCGCGTCGATCGCGAAGAGATGCTCCAAGTGCTTCTCGCGCAGCGCCGTGATGTGCTCCGCCGAGAACCCGTTCGCACGGTCGCTCGCGATCGCGATGGCTCGCTCGTACTCGTCGTGCTCCAGCGCCCAGTCGATGTGGTCCTGCACCGACCGCGGCAGAATCTTCACCACCGACCGCGGGGACAGCAGATACAGCGGCTGCGCCGCGGAGCTCGGCGTCGTGCTGTTGCGCTCCAGCGCGTAGTCCTGCGCCGAATAGCCCTCATAACCGCGGATCGGGAGACACTCCTCGGATAGGGACTCGCCGGTCTGCAAGGACACGACGTTCACCGCGGGAGGGAGGGGCTGCCCGTCCTCGGAGGGGTAGTAGCTGAGCACGGTGAGGTGGGAATCGTCGTAGATGCCCAGACCGACGACCCAGTAATCCAAAGGCAGAAGCGGCCCCGCCTCGCCGTACCAGACCTTCGTGTTCGCCGCTGTGCTTTTGTAGTTCAAACGGACGGTGAGCAGCGTGTTCGCCCAGCCGATGCAGAGCAGGGAGTTGCCGTACCAGCATCTAGGAGTGAGGGAAAGGAAAGGAAAGAAAAAACAGGCGAGGGCGGCATTGGCTGGTTTCGGGGACATTGCTGGGCTTGGGAACAAAGGTCACGTTCGTCTCGGTCTCCACGTTGAACACCTTGGTGCCGTACTCGTTGCACCAAGCCACGAACGGGTAGGAGTACTCGATTACAGAGATCGGACCTTCGTTCTCGTGAATGACCATGTCCTGGTAGGAAAACCAGCTTTTCTTGTTCATGATGAGCTGGCCCTTCAAACCTCCACAAAGAAACAATTTATCTTTCGATGTCGGGTCGAGTCGGATTGCCTACGAGGAATTACGAAAAACGAAACGTAGCTACTCGAACGGCGGTTGTATATTTGTGGGGATACCGGGTGTTGTCCGACAGAGATTGCACGTACACATAACCATCCTCTCCTGCAGAAGCAATGGTATTTCCAACTTTATCTATAGATATGGCGTTGATTTTACCAATATGTTGCTTAAATATCTTGAATAGTTTGTTTTTGTTGCTAAATAGAAGGATCTTTCCAGAATTTGTGCCCAACGCAGTATATCTGTCATGAATTGCTATCGAAGTGTACACCTCCGTCTCCGCTTGCTGATGATTAAAGATTTTCACAAAAACACATACCTTCTCAATATCATCTTGAAGACGGGTATAATTCAAATAGGGCTCGGATGAGTCCGATGACACTGATTTGTTATCCGACATACGAATCTCCTGAATGCTGGAGTTTAGAAAGTGCTTTGAGTCGAGGAAACAGCAAATGTCGCAGAAAAACAAAAAGGAACCGCGGAATAGAAACAACAAAATATCCTCCAAATTTGGAGTTTTCACATATCCTTCAAGAACTCATCGATTCAAATGACAGTATTTAGATTGTATTGGTAAAGTTAGGGTATAGAGGACATTGCCGCAGTTAGAACGAGTAATCGAACCGAGTGTTTTCGTTATCGGTAGAACCCGCAAATGGAGAAGCCTTTTCTAGACTTGATGAAACGGTATGCGCGGGTTCGGGAATTTGACTCTAGGTTCAATTTCATCGATGCCGTAATTGCAAGTACTGCAGATGGAGTTCCATTGATGCGAGGTGTGGAATAGGAAGCGAACTTTTACGAATAGTGATTAATCCCAATTCTTCCATCGATATTGGTTCAGAAGAGGTCGAATTCCCCGTGTGCTTGTCGATCGTAGCCGATCACGTAGTTTTCGGCGTTGGTTTTCAGTAGACCCGTCGCTTAAAGTTCGGAAACTTGTCGATCGTCACTTCTGTGTATAACAACCGAATTGTAATGTCGGTATACAGTCTCTTTTTGAACATTAACGTCTTGGCTCATGTAAGGTTGTTGGATGTTGTTTTATTTTTTTTAGGAGAAGAATGAATCGCTCCTGATCTCCCTGGCTCCTCAAATCCAAGGCGTCCTCAACAACCTGGCTCTGGAAGTGGAGAATTCCAGCTGTTAATGTACCATGTGTTTTTCTTTGTTGAAACAAACATCAAACTATGAAATCATTATTAATATTATTATTATTATTTTCATTATTATTTTTTAATTATTATTATCCCATCAATATCATCATCACTGAACCAGATACGAATCATACTCTGCTCGTAGCTTCATCAATTCGCTCACCACCGCCTGTGTGGGCGGCACATCCTTCGCAAACGGCGTCTATCCTCGACCCCTCCCTTCTCTCCTACTCCCTGCAGCAACTGCGTGAACTTGGCATGATACGACGACACTTCATTCGCAAACTACCCTCAACTCCACCCTCGATACCCCACCATATTAAACACCGACACCGCCTTGAACTGGAAGTCCTGCTGGATCCGCTCATGTACTGCATGCACCGCCTCACGCCACCCTCCGCAATACCGCTGAATGTTCTTGCTCTCCACCGTGGTGAACTGCACGCCGTGCTTCCGGTCGCTGTACTTGTCCACCACCGTCACCAGCACCGCTAGCCAATCAAACCGCGTCAGATGCGCCCTACCGAAGTGCTTCGCCATCATCTCCTCGATGTACAAATGCAGACGGTCTTGATACAAACGCGTAAAGTCGTTCTAGGATGATAACAATCCCTCACAGAGAAGAAAACCTCGGCAGTCACGTGACGCGTCGCATACACGTCCGCGACATACAAGCAACTATTCAGGATGTACGACGGGCGTTTCTACATCGTACAGACCCTCCAATCAAACGTTCTCCTTCACGCACGACGCGAGCTTCATGAGCAGATTGACCATCTCCAGCGAGAGCGTGTGGAGCGGCTCCTCCCAGAGCGCTCGGCTGATCAGCGAATCGTAGGACAGTCCGAGAACGTACAGCGCACACGACAAATCGGCGTATCGCTTGATGCTGGGGTGGATCTCCGTCGTCACGTTCAGATTCTTCGGCTGCAACGGCACCGACTTCACCGACTACGCCTCACCGCCACGGCGGAATCTCACTTTGATCTGCAGCGCCATGAGCTCTCTGAATCGCGACATGCTTTTGGACCGCAGACTACCTTCAATCCCTTCTCTCCAATCCCCACTTCAAAAAGAATTCTTGGAGAATCGGAACGCCTTCCTTCGCCAGTTCCTCCACCGCCGCTTGCAGCAGAATGCACAGGATCATCACCCCCACCACGTCGAACGATCCGCGTACCCAGTTCACCGTGGTTAAGTGCAGCTCTTCGCAGGCCGCGCCGATGACCTCGATCAGCATTTTGGTGTCTTCGGGGTCGAAGAAAAGAACTTCGAACGCGAACTCGCCGAGCGAGCAGTCGATTAAATGCCGCTGAATCGATCGGAAAAACTCAGGATAGTTGATCAGCGTTTTTTCCTCGGCGAGAATCGAGGGCAGCAGAGGCGGCGAGCGGAGAAAATCGATCACTGTGTGGCGATCGGAGAGGACAAACGGAGAAACCGAGGAAACCGAGGACGCTTTCTTGAGGAGAGAAGTTTTCTGTTTGGCGGGCTACGTCGCAATTTGCCGCGTTTTCGTACCACAATGACTTCTTCGGAGGGCGCGATTTCGTAGAGACGCGCTTTCAATCTACGGTCAACCAAGCAGCCAATCAAAAACGCCGCCGAGTACTCCGCGAAGATCTGAAAGAAGATATGCCGCATGATCTCGCAGTACTTCTTCGCGATCTCCTCGTAATACACGGGCAAATGGCGTTGCAAGAAGTGCATTCCCTCCGACAGCTTCAGCAGAACCTCCTTCTGGAACATTTCGATGTTGCTGTCCTGCCGAATCTCCGCGAATTTCCGAAATACCGCGTCCCGAATGCGATTGCCGCAGTGCAGGCGGAGGATGTTGAAGTCCACCTTGATCTCCTCGATCGCCTTCACCAGGCTCCGCTGCTGCTTCGTGGCGTCCTGTGGTTAATAAGGGGAAGAAGGGCTACATCCACATCCATGCAATCCACAAAATCGAGGCGTTTTCCGAACTCCGCGAGGTGAGTGAAGAACTCGTCGTTCATTTCTCCCTATGTAGAAGAGTAGGATTGCGAATACGCTGATGAGAGAGTTCACCATGCTGGGATAGATGATCAGGTTGTCCACGTATTCGCGAAGACGTACATCCACTTCCTTACGGTTCTTCAGACGCATAGCAATCCGATCAGATTCGCACTGACCATGAGCTGAGCAGAAAAAATGGTACTTGAAGATTGTGAATCTGGTTTACGGCTTTATCGAGATCCGTTTGATATTTTGTCAAGATCCCATCCATTTCTGATAGAATCGAGGAACACTCCTGGACTTCTCTACGCATGAAGGAAAACAAGCGGAAATGGACAAATGAAGATGAGCGATGTTTTTGCTTTCACGAATATAGTCAACGATCGACAGATTGCTGTATTTTTTCAATTGTTCGTCAATCTGGTCACCATACAGAGACAAGTCCACATCATTCTTCAATGCTTCTTTCACAATGTCTTCCTACAGACTAGTAGATTCCAAAAAGTAGTTGCCTGTTGAAAACGCTCCAGGTCGGACCGAAGATCACGGATATCGGTGACTTCTTCCTCCGTGGGCTTTGATCTCATGTACACATCTTCCTCGTCGCTGCTGATATAATCGACTTGCATCTTTTGCCCGTTAACAACAGAATCCTGAATTATCGAATTCCAAAAATGGAGAGGATACTGAAGAATTGTAGTTGTTTTTTTCATATAACACTTTACTTTAAGGTGAAAATTATGCAAACTTTTACCAAGGAGGAGGTATTAAAGCACTGCACACGTGAGAGTTGCTGGGTCTACATTGGAAATATCGTGTACGTTCTATGTTGTTATTTTCATGTTTTAGATATGACTTGACCAACTACATTGATAAGCACCCTCCAGGTGCCCAAATGATTCTGAACTGTGCCAAGAGAGGTCAGGACGCCCGAGGAATGTTTGCAATTCACTCTACACGCGCTAAGCAGCTCTGGGAAAGCATGAAGATTGGTATGATTGCTCTCTCTATTGTTTGTTTGACATTTTCTACATACCAATATCGGTATTCAAACACTCCACCATTCCAGATTTCTTCTTGGAGTCTTTTCATTTTATTTTTATTATATGAGTAATTTTGGAGGAGGTTTTAAATTCAACATCGGTGGGAATACGGGAGGGCAAGGCAATGCTACTGGGAACACTGGATTTAGCTTCAATTTTTCAAATCAGGGCCAGAACCAGCAGCCTGCATTTGGTCAGACCCAAAATGTCGGAGCAGCGACGCAGAGCCCGATTTCCTCCATTCTGCAAGGATATAAATATATGTAGGGTTTATCAAGACCGTAGTGATTTAGATTACAAAATGGTCAGAACCAAGGAGATAGTGTATTTTCCTGTGTGTTGTTTAACTACTGTCCCCCAGAACTCCGAAACGAGTGAGTTTTCTATTCTTGTGTTCATCGTAGTTATTTGCGAGACGAGAAAAACCGAGAACTATATAACCGATATCTCTCTGAGAATCCTGACCCTGACGTATTGTGTTACTCTCTTTTTCGAATTAGAACATGGTCCCTGTTACAGTTTATGGATTTAATGGTTTAAAGGAGCGTATCGAATCTCAGAAGCAAATCCTAAAGTCCTTTGCAGATAACGACATGCTCCAACAAGTGGTCGCTAATTCACACACCATGATCGCAGAGTGTGACCGCTTAGCGCGGGAATGCGATGAAAAGCAATCTCGCTTAGAGGAGCAAATGATTCGCGTTCTTGGAAAAATAGAATCCACGTCGACCAAATCGCAAGTGATCGTCACAAACGAGGAGTTCATGCAGAAGCTCGTGAAGTTGCAGCGCGAAGTTTCCCAAGCAACATATCCTTCATTCTTGATTTTGATTTTGATTTTGATTGGCTGGTTGGTTCGTTAACGAGCAGAACGGGGCTGCGTGCTCGGCTATCGACGGTGTACAGCGCGTTGAACACGTACGGGCTGCCCACACAGGAAGAATCGCCGAAGATCGAGAACTTCGATAGCATGCTCAACGTAGAGGAAGAGAGAAGAGAGTGATGAATAGTTTTTAGAGAATCAGGAAGATGCGCTGGAAAAGATGGTCGCGATGTTGAAGAAGATGCAGGATGACTTGCAGATTATGCTTACGGATCCTTATGCTCATGTGTATTGTGAAAAGTCGTAGTTTGTGTTTGTTGGAAAAGGAGGATCGGTGAGATAGCAGCTGGATGTGTATAGAATTGTTTGGAGAATTGAAGTGGAGCAAAATGGTAAATGAAACGTTGAAAGTGATAATACTGACTATGCAACTAGGATTGATAGAGTGCATGCATTGAATACTAATAGAGCAATCATTCATTTATCTCTTTGGATATTGAGTTATCCTCCCAACTCTGAATTGAATGGGTGCCAAGCCCTTCATTCAACTGTTTACACGATGGAAATTGGATTCGTTGAATGTCAATCCACGCATCAATTCATTTCCTTCTCTAATCCAAATCCCACACTCCTTTCCTCTCCTCTTTTTTTCATTTCTGCTTTGCACTCAAACATTTCGTATAACAAACCCTCCATACTACAACAATCCACCCATCCACAACTCCTTCCTTCCTTCCTTCCTTCCTTCTTAATGGCGTGGGATAATCGTATTCAATCCCAGCAACTGCGACGTCTGCGCCATCAACGTTTCTTGCGGCACCAGCACCACCTTCGTTTGCGGCAGCGCGCAGATTTCCTTCAGCATCGCAATGTACTTCATCGCGATCAAATACTTCGACGGATCGTCGCCCGACCCCTCCAACGACCGCGAAATCTCCTGGATCGACCGCGCCTCCGCCTGCGCGTCGTTCAGCATGGCCTGCGCCTGGCCGCGCGCCGCGGTCACCACACGCTGCGCCTCTCCCTCGGCCTCGCGGATCTTTCGATCCCGTTCTCCTTCGGCGTTGATGATGCAGGTCTGCTTATCCGACTTGGCAGTAATCACCACTTCCTTGTTCTTGAAATCCGCGTTCTTCTTCTGCGCCAGCACCTCTTCCAGCTCGTGCGCACTCACCTTCTGGATCTTCACCATCTCGATTTTAACGCCCCAATTGCAAGCGATGATGTCCAATTCGCCGGCTACACGATCCAGAATAGCGGTATCTTCGATGATACGGTCCACGTCCAGGGAGCCAGCCACGTCACGAAGACGAGCCTGCAGGAGACGAGACAGAACATTGGGAAGATTGTTCACAGAGTAGACCATCATCTTTGGATTGGTGATTCGGTACTGCAGCACCTAGAAATTAAAAATCCATGTGATTTCTACGGCATCCAAATAAATCATGGCATTATCACGGGTGATAACGGGTCTACAAATCACATGAAGAGCACGAACCTACTGCTCAGGGAAATCAAGGACTTCGTTTTGAGTAGAAATCACGTCAGAATAGGTTTCGATTAACTGTCCTTTCGAATATCCAGAGCTGATCACATAGCGGTTATAGACAAATTTCGTCCTGTCGAGGAATGGAGCTACAAAGTTCACACCAGGCTCTAGGGATTTTGAATAGGTTCCTAGACGTTCCACAATAATGTGCTCTCTTTCGCTCACACATCGAATGCTGTGACGCACTAGGAAGATTATGCAAAAGAGAGCAAATGCAATCAACAAAGCAAGCATAACCCAATCAAAAGCACTCATTTTCAATTTCTATACAATCAAGTAGTGCCCAATCAGCCTACATATTTCTTTCCAAAATATCTTCTTGATTTGTTTTTGAAATACGCTTAATCTAGATTCGGTGCTGTGAAACTCCAAAAGTAGGTCCGCCAAAATACGCAAATAACCGTTTTACCACCAACCTCAATTCCAGGTTATTCCGCAAAAGAAGCATCTCTGTGGAAAGGGCTAACAGGTCAGACACAGTTCCCCACGCCGCGTCTCCAAATTCTGACTATTCATCACTCATCCTTATTTCTCTAATCCAATGATTGTCTCAGAGATGGCCCCATATTCCAAGTTCTTTCCCACCCTCCTTTTGAATATCCAGCGATTGTGTTTTGCATCTTGAAGCAAGGGTTCATTGCCATAATTTCAGTACAGCAACTGAAACAGGTCACTTAGAGATAGAATAGAGTACCCCTTAGAATTGTGTTACAGGAAGGAAACTGACACTGAGAACCAATCAATTATTGAGTTTCCTGAAACTCCTCTTCCTCTCGTTTTGAACACAATAAAATGAAGTTAGTTGGTGTAGTTCTCTTTTCTATTTGTGTGGTTTCTTTCTTTGCTGTAACATATAGTTTGTGCTCTTGTGAGCTCTCTGGACTGTGCTGAAAATGAGGTATACCTGAATCTGAAAAAGAAGTCCATGAGCTGGGCAAGCGAAGAGTCGGTCGTCATCTACGACGGGGACCGAAAGGTTTATACCTCCCCCGCATTTCTGAACAATGTTGAACGCGAATTCGAGGCCTGCATAGACAAGACTACGAATTTACGATACCGGATCAGTTTGCTGGACTCACGTAAGGATTCGTGGAGCTCGGGCGCCTGGGTTGATATTCGTGGTAAATACCTGAATACCTTTTTCAAGGCGTTTATGAAAGAATCCACGGAGGAGACTTATGAGCTTTCGCTCTACTACGGAATTGACAAGATGTCTCTTTGGAAGTATTCCGCATCGTACAGTGATGGATGGACCTCCACCACCTTTACTGACTCCTCCTGGACTGATTACACCTATGACGCGAACTCCACGACGACGGTGGTCGGTACTCAGTACTACCGAAAGAATTTTGACGGTCTGGTTTCGATGGCCTCTTATGAATGCCGTCTGCGCTATATGTATGGTATCGTCGTGTACATCAACGGCAACGAAGTGTTCCGTGACAACATGAACGCTGGAGAGGTGACTCAGAACACTCCCTCCACTGGAATCAAGAACCCGCTGGACTACCGCGGCTTCATGCGCTCCGGAGGCGACATTTCCTCCGTCCAGAGCGTTCTAGCGGTGGAGCTGCACTTCCCCAACGCGCAGAGCTCGAATACCTGGAGCTTCGACGCCTGGCTGGCGATTTTGTCTCCGTCCTTCCCCGAAGAACTCTGCTCCGTCTTCCCTTACGATATGGAAGTCACGGGATCCGGATCGAACCCCACCAGAGCGTTTAATTGGAACAAGAGCGACTATATGACGATGAGTTCCATCAGCGATGACAGCTATCTTCAGTACGGCATTGAAAATGGCCTCGTACTTCCCGCGGTGAACGGAATCCGCTATTTCCCGTACGTGTACCAGACCAAGGGTCCCAGCGCCCTCGAGCTGACTGGAAGCAACTCGATCAATGGGCCGTGGGAGTCGGTGATGAGCGTATCGGACTGGGTCTTGGAGAGCAAGACGTACAAGCAGGAAGTGAGCTACATGGCGAACGTTTTCTATTCGAACTACCGCGTTCGCTTCCTGGAAGCGATCTCCACGCCGATGTACATCGCGGAGATGCAGTTGCTGGTGTGTAACAACCAGCCTCCATCCGAGATCGTCTTCGAGCAGGAAGCGTTCGAGTTCCTCGCCATGGTGGACTCCGTCAGCATCGCTCCCATCCGCCACGGATTCACCCAGTGCACCATTCAGCCTGCTCTGCCTCTGGGATTGTCGCTCGACGCGGACTCCTGCACCATTACTGGCGTAGCTCGCGCCGAGCTGAACGCGACGATGTTCACGGTGACGAGCCACTTGGCGACTGCGAACGTATCCGGCACCTTCTCGCTGTCGCTCACGATTTGCAGAGGAACCATGATCGAGATCCTGCGCACCTACAAGTCGAGCGCCACGTCGGAAGGGTTCGTCGTGACGTCGAGCGAGAGCGGCGAAGTGCTGTACTCGGTGGAGCCGAACAGCGGACAGGTGTCGTCGAAGGACTGGGCGGTGAGTCTCTGCGCGCCTCCGGGCCGCGTTAACATCGAAGTGAGCTCCACAAGCAATTACTGGACCAGCAAGTCCTATCTCTATCTCTACTCGGTGTACTACAACACGGAGAAGGAGGAGGTCGCTCGGATCCGATTTGATCGCCAGCTGGGTCTTGACTCTTCCTACACCTTCAACCCGCACTACTCTCTGGCGAGCCGAACCGAATGGTTCATGAAGTTCGGCGAAGTCCCCGCGTCCTGGACGGATAGCAACACGAGCGGGTGGACGAGCGGCGTGCCGATCGACTCCACGTCCACCTCGCACATCCAGCTCTTCAAGAAGTCCTTCTCTATCAGCTCGCTGGACAACGCTGCCTCGCTCATCATGTCGATTCGCTATCGTCACGGCTGCATCGTATACCTCAACGGCCACGAAGTGTTCCGTCGTGGCGTCAGCGGAGAGCTCAGCACCGATTCGCTCTCCTCCAACACGTTCTCCTCCCTCCTCTACCGCGTGGTGTCGGTCCCCTTCGTCACCTCCACGGACACGAACGGCGATTCCACCACCTACGTTCAAGTCGGAACCAACTGGATCGCGGTCGCCATCGTCGGCGCCGCCACCTCCGACACCGACGTGGAGTTCGATCTGATGCTCCGCTTGGCGGGCAGCAATTCCGAGTCGCGCCTTCTCACCGTGACGACGTCGTCCTCCAATGCGGGAACCAGCGGCAATGCGGTGGATCTGTACTACAGCACGTACCTGTCCTCCACGACCTGCAGCAGCAACTACGTGGAGATCACCTTCCCGAACGATCGTCGCGAGTGGATCAACTCGGTGCTGGTGCAGTCGTACTACTCCGAGCTCAAGTATCTCGTTCGGAACTTCGTGGTACGCGCGAAGAACCCGGAGATGGAGGACTACGTCGTGCTGGCGACGGTCGAGAACATCACGTGGTCGATTGCCGGCCAATCGCGCAAGATCTGGATCAGCAACGACCTCTCCTTCAACAAATACCGGTTCGATAACTTCACAACCGGCGATCCGGATTCCTGCTCGTGGCGCGTCTCCCGTCTCGACCTCTTCGCCAACAGCATGGTGGAAACCATCCAGCCGCTTACCTACGAGTCCACCGACGTCTACAAGAACATCGAGATGAGCGAGCTCTACCCGTCCTCCACCTACTACACCGACTTCAAGGTCTCCCCCGCGCTCCCTGACGGCCTGGTCATCGACGCCTTCGAAGGCGTGATCTCCGGCACCGCCACCAAGCTTCAGGACCGCAAGACCTACACGATCTCCGCTCGCAACGTCCGAGGCGGCGAGGTCACCGCCACGCTCGAGCTGGGCGTTACCGAGTGCTACAACGGCCGCAGCCTGATCACCGTCGCGATCCGCGCCGACTCCAACCGCGTCGAAAACTCCTACAAACTCTTCCAGGGACGCGGCACTACCGGCTCGCTCGTCGCCTCCATCGATCGGTTCCCCGCGACTTCCACCTGGCTCTACCTCGACCGCTGCCTCCCCAACGGGCTCTACACCTTCGAGGCCTCCGACTCCCGCGGGGACGGATGGAGCACCGGCACCGGCTTCATGGTGACGGTGGACCAGGGCAATTTCCCCGTGTTTATGGCGATGGTGCCGGCAGGCGACGCCCCGGTCAAAGTCCCCGTCACCTTCTCGTCGTTCCTGCCGTTCCAGCGCAACACGGGTCTGTGGCGCATTCTGGCGACGGCCAGCCCCGCGGCGGACTGGATGGCGCGCGGATTTGATGACTCGGCGTGGAAGGAAATCCCCGCGAACGAGATCGGAAGCATCGAGCCGGTGACCGCGTATATCCGCAAGAGCTTCACGCTGGAAACCGTGGAGGAGTACAACGTGCTGAACGTGATCGCGCGATTCAACGGCGGCCTGCAGGCCTATTTCAACGGCCATCTCGTGGCTCGGTTCAATCTCCCGGACACCGTCACGCCGTCCACGATGGGTCTGGAGAAGCGCTCGGTGGATCTGTGGTCGAAGTTCCACGTGGTGCTGCGCCACTCCGGCGTGGTGGAGGGTACCAACGTGATGGCGTTCGAACTGCACCGCGCGACGGGAATGGACGCGATGACCACGCTGACGTTCGACGCGACGGGCGTGTTCGGCGTGGAGGAATGCTCGGTGGTGACGGACAGCTGGATCGTGAAGAGCGGCTCCCTCGTGTCCGAATCCAGCTACGCGGAGCTGTTCGATCTGAATCCGTACGTGGTGAACCAGATCGCGAACAAGGAAGGCTCCTATCTGGACTTCTACGCGGAGAACCAGGTGGGCTCGCGCTTCTCGGAGTACGGATTCTACATCAACAGCAATGTCAACTCCTACAGCTTCTCTCTCTACGCCTATCCCATCGACTCCAGCCTCGACGACACGTTCTCCAAGCAGGACCTCGAAGAGATCAGCGTCGCCGCCGACCAGTCGCCCCTCGGCCGTACTTTCAACGGCTACCAGGCGCCTCTGGCCATTCTCGGCTTCCGCCACTTCCGATTTGAGGTCGACGACCCCGCGTCCTCGGCTCCCAACGTCGTGTCCTTCCTCTTCCGCGTCTGCATGAGTCGAGGCACGCTCTGCCCCGCGGTGGACGGCTTCCCCGCGGTGGCGGAGGGCGAGATGTCCCCGTCGGAATGCGAGTACGGATACAGCGGATACGCCTATCGACTCTGCCAGAACGGCACGCTGAGCGAAGTCCACACGGATCGCTGCGTGCCCAAAGTCCCCGACTACCTCGCCTACTCCAAGGAGCGCTTCATCTTCTACCGGGATTTGCCGAGCTCCACGGGCAAGCCTTCCTTCGAGAACCTCATCGACACGTTCTATCTGAAGGAGGGCGACGCGCTGCCCGACGGCCTGCAGCTGAATAACCGCACGGGCGAGATCGAAGGCACGCCGCGGTCGCTCGTGAAGCAGAGCGTGGTGACGATCATCGGAGAGAACACGAAGGGCGTGACGGAGACCACCGTGGCGTTCATGGTGCGGCTGGGCGAGTGCGAGCCCGACGGCCTGTTCATGCGAACCACCGCTGGAACCACCGCGGTGATCGACTGTGCGCTGAAGGGAAGCTACGTGGGAAAGCAGGAGCGGCTGTGCAAGCTGGGAGAGAACGGAGGGGAGTGGCAGAAGGCGAGCGGCGTGTGCATGCCGGTCGCTTTGATCGTGGTGCTGGTGGTGCTGGCAGTGATCGTGGTACTGGTGGTTATCGCCTTCGTGATTCGCGTGACGTCGGGAAAGAAGTCGCAGAAGAAGTCGCTGGCGCATAGCAAGCCCGCCGTGGACGTTTAATTTTAGTGAGATGTTTGTGAGAAACACGAAGGGGAGAGAGAGAGAGAGTGGTTCGATGGAGTTGTGGTCGATCGCTTGGGAGTGAAATGATTGAATTGGCAGTCCGTTCCCAAGGAGATTCACTCATTGATTCATTGATTCATTGATTCATATATCCATTTATTTATCTATTTATTCATCCACTTATTGATTCATTGACTCATTAATTCATTAATTAGTTTAACAAACAATCCTCCAAGAAGCCCTTCTTCCTTACTCCTGCTTCTTCACCTTCTCCGGCAGAATCGAATACGTATTCCACCCTCCCGGCAACAAACTCACGCGATATCCCTCCTGCATCAGAATTCTCGCTGCGAAATACGCCGTCTTCCCCACGTTGCACGTCACCGCCACTTCCTTCTCCTTCGGAATCTTCTCCAGACTGCTTCGCACCTTCTCCAGCGGAATATTCTCAAACCCAGCGATCGGATTCGCCTTTCCTCACCTCCCTCCTCCACTCCTACATCAAACATCGCCTTATTTCGCACGTCCAGCTTAAACACATCCTCTCTCCGCAGCGCCTCCTCCCACGCCATCTGTCTCACCAGTCCCTTCATCACGTTTTCTCCCAGCATTCCAGCCATATTCACCACATCCTTCGCCGACCCAAACTACCCCTCATTTCCCCGTTTCTCCCTTACCGGCGGCGCGTAGCACAGCTCCGCCTGCGCCACATCGCTCACCGTCGCCTTCATCTGAATGAACGCCGCCAGCACGTCGATCCGCTTCTCCACGCCGTCCTTCCCCACCGCCTGCGCGCCCAGCACGCGTCCGCTCTCCCTATCGAAGCACAGATCCAAGTGAATCATCGACGATCCCGGGTAATACGTCGCGTGATTCGCCGCGTGCACGTGCACACACTCCACTTTTTCGGCGTCCATCGCCTTCGAGCGGCTCAGCGAGGCGGGCGTTTCACCGGTCATCGCTACGGTCAAGTCGAACATGCGGCACACGGAAGTTCCCTGCACGCCCGGAAATTCCGATTGCAAGCCGCTCAGCACATCGGCCACAATTCGCCCCTCGCGGTTCGCGGGGCCGGCCAGGGGAAGCGTCGTGGGTTTATCGGTCACTCGGCTGGTGACTTGGACCACATCGCCCACCGCGAAGATTGATGGATCGCTTGTGCGCATCTGGCGGTCTACGGCGATGCTGCCGCGCATGCCGAGCGATAAGCCGCAGTCACGTGCCAATTCGGAGTTCGGAGAAACGCCGATGGAGAGAATGACGAGTTCGCATTCGATCGGGGTGCCCTTGGTGTGGGACACTTTTAAGTGATCGGATTCTGCAGTGATCGATTCGAAACCACTCCCAGAATGAAGATCAATTCCATGATCCCGAATCGTCTTTTCGAGGATGGTAGCCAGTTCATCACTCAAAATAGGCATTACATGCGGCGCCAATTCGATAAGACTCACTTTCAGTCCACTATGGAATTAGTCCCGATTTTTGGAATTACCGATGTACGAGGTTTTCTGCCATTTCGAGGCCAATGAAGCCTCCACCAACAACAACAGCGCGTGTGGCATGATGCTGATCGATCCAGGACTTGATCTGGTTGCTGTCAGGAATGTCTCGAAGCTGGAAGACACCCGGGAGATCGCAGCCAGGAAGCTTGGGAACGAAGGGCTTGGAACCAGTGGAGAGGATTAGGTTGTCGTAGGTCTCTTCGAAACTAGACGTTTGGAAGCATTTCGAATCTTTACGTTTCTCCAGAAATTAGGTTCTTCACGAGAACGGACTTTTTCTCGCGATTGATGGACAGTACCTCGTGTCGAGTAAACACGTCGATGTTGAACCACCCCTTGTATTTTTCCGCTGAAAACACAATCAGGTCATTTTCCTTGGGTAAATCCACCCTCTTACACCTACCTCAGGGATGACATCTCCAATGTAATAGGGCAGACCACAATTGGCAAAAGATACATACGGACCTTTCTCGAAGATGATAATTTCCGCTTTTTCGTCCAATCTGCGCAATCTAAAGGTCGTCTCACCCCAAAGATCCACGTACCTTGCAGCCGCACTACCTCCTCCAGCAACTCCTCCAACAATAACAGTTTTCATTCTACCCACTCATATCTGGCTTGTAGGAGCCTACTCAACTCGATTTAGAGATTATCGCTCAAACAAGAAAAAAGATAATGTACTACTTCTTCTTCATTAGAATTCGAGGCACCAATCTTCCGGAAGCTTTCATTTTGGGAAGCGGTTCCGAAGGCACGTTCTTTGTTTCCGGCACTGCATTGGCCCGCTTTTCCTTCTGTATAATGGGTTTGGTTTGGTTGTTTTTATCCTCCTTTTCAGTTAATTTCGACTGATTCATTGGCTCCAGCGGCGGATTCGCCGCACCGAACGGGTCCCTCAACGGGACATTCAGCGAGTAATTCGACGAGAAGTTCGACGAGTAATTCGATGAGAAGTTCGATGAGAAGTTCGATGAGAAGTTCGATGAGAAGTTCGACGACTGACTCAACGATTGACCCAGCGGGTCATTCAGCGGGTCATTCAATGAGAAATTCAGCGGGTCATTCAACGATTCATTCAATGGATGATTCAACGATTCATTCAATTCGCTTTCCTTCTCCTTTCCCTTCTCTTCGTCCCCTTCTTTTCCCGCCAATTTCACTCCCATTTCCACTCTAGGGTTCCCCATTTCCACTCTAGGGTTCCCCATTTCCACCATTCCACTCCACCCCATCGGAAACTCCCGCAATCCCTTCCTTCCCAGGTCCATCGCCTTCCCCGCGGGACCGAATCCTCCATACCGCATGTCGTCGCGCATTTCCCCGCCAAACCGCATCCCAACATTCAGCGAATTAACCGCGGGATCCACACGCGACAGCGGCATCCCCGCGGGACGGAACGGATATCCGTACAACCCGGGAGGCGGCGCGAACGGACCCGACGAAGCCAGAAATCCCGGGTTTGCCGCCAAAAATGGGGAATCCTCGATAATCGCGGGATCCACAAACGGCTTCACCGCGGGGATTTCCGCTTCGGGGTGAGACGACATCCGCGGGAGCAGACGCGACGCCGGCATCCCGGACCCCACTGGGGAAACCGTGGAAACCGGAGTAGAAGTGGAAACCGTGGAAACCGTGGAAAAGGAGGTAGAGAAGGATTCCAAGTACCGAACCTGCTGGTTTCCCTGTTGCTTCTCCGTTTCTCCAGTTTCTCCAGTTTCTCCAGTTGGATTGGGTTGCGCCCAGAGCTGTTCCACGGGGATTTCGACGCCCTTCGCGGCCGCTTTGGGCGTTTCATCAAACAAAATCCGCGCGGATTTTGTTTGCTCGCTCGTCTGACTCAGCAATTCCCGCTCGATCGCCTGGCTCGAAACGCCCGCATCCTCCTCCGCCAAGCCCGCATCATGATCCGCGGGGATCGCCTCATCGCTCTTGGGCGGGAACAGATCCGCGGGAATCTCGTCGTTTCGTTGGAGGGTTCTCTACGAAAAGGGGAAACCGTGGAACCTACGGAGAGATCGAAGTCGGCGGCGTCTTCCTTGGGCATTTCCCAGTCGTCCACGATTTCCTCCGATTCCCCCGCGGGTTCCGCGTGGTTCCGAGGATTCGGTTTAACCGCGGTGAAACGGTCGAAACGTTCGAAACGGTCGTGGCGAGGAGGTTTCGCGGAAATTGCGGGGTCGGAATGGTCGTAACTGCCGAAACGGCTGCGGTGCGGGAGTTTCGGAGGGTCGGAGAGAGACGGTGCGGGAGTTTCATTGGGGATTTTGGTGATGATGAAGGAAAAGGGGGAAATGGGAATGTCGGGATGGCCAGGGTAGGAGGGCGAGAGGACGACATCGCGGATGGCGTACATCTCTTCGAGCGTCTGTGTTGTGAGGGGCGAGCTGTGGAAATACGTAGAGAAGAGGGCGCGAAGGAGATGATGATGATGATTCTTCCGTCGGTTCTGGTTTTGCTAAATTTCAGTGCGTTGTGGGGAGAGGGAACGTTCTGGTTCAGAAACGGGCGCTTTCGGTTTCTTTTGAAATCGTAAGTTCGGTTGAGCCCGCGCTACAGGTTTATTTGTGTCTGTATTATTGGGTCGTCCGTTTCCACGCTGTTGACGAATTCCTTTTCCCCTTCCCTTGCTTTTGCCGTTTCCTCGCTCCGCTTTGTCATTTCGCACCTATGTTCAATCGGAATCGAGCTGCTTACTCCTTTCGGAGCGGTTACTTCCCTAAAGATGAACACCTCACCGAAAAGCTACTTATTGACAGTTTGTTCAGTTTCTGTTTCGGCTTGCATTGATTTCCTTTAGATAATTTGAAAAGATTGGAAAATGGATGAAAGAGAGTTAACTAATGAAAAGTTGTGTGTAATATTCCCTGTTATTGTTTCTCTGCTTCTCTGCTTATTTCCTACGTGTAGATCATAATATATGAAACCGGATTGTTTACTACCCGTTTCTTTTATGTGACATGTGCTGTGAATTTACTATTCAATGATCATAAAGGATAGAGGAAATAATGAGACATTGATTCGGGAGAACAATAACGACTTTATTGAACACATCACCACGATTGACAAGTATCCTACTTTCACATGACCTTCAGCGTGCAGCTACTCCCTCTACAACAAGCGCTAAACAATTCACTTCATTGCTTTTTAGTTTCTGCTGCGTAGCTCAAACAAACAAACAAACAAACAAACAAACAAACAACCCTCACACTCAGAACTGTTGTGAAATCGTTAAAATACAGTCTGTCAGTTCTTTCGGCCATAGGTCCACTCCCTTCTCATAAAAAACACACATCGTAGCACAAATCCCATAAATCTCCTGTACATCGAACTTTAGTTCTGTAAAAACATCCACTGGATCGATGTTGTTCATCGTGCAAATCATATACACAGCAGTTGCCGCCACAATATGAGGTGCATGCGTAATTGGAATCAATGTGTAAAATGAATCATTTACAATATTTCTATCGATTATTCGGTATGAAAAAACAAGCAACGTGCAGGCTTGGAGACAATCCTCCAAATGACAAAGTGAAAGAAAATGTCGTAAGTAGCGGAAAGGATCAAAGAACAACAAACAGTAGTCCAACTTCAAAAGAATCAGATTTTCGCAAGACAACACGTCGTCGATCGTCCACTTGATTGGATCGATCTTGTGAAGCTTTAGCACGCCCTCGAACGAGGAGAGCACACGCGACACGTTGGCAGCGACTTCTTCCACCTTCGAAGCTAGATAATAGCACGTAGGAACAGCTAGATAGGGATGTACATCGGTAAAGTGAACTCTAAAATGACAATGAGTTGAAAACGCCTGCTTAGCATAGAATCGGCGCCAATAATAGATGGCTGTATTAACAACACGACGATTATTCCCCATTTCTACAAGAACTACGAATTAGCCAAGGAGCGATCTGATCACTTTGAATGCAATTATTTGTAACTTTAATGATATTGTCTCGCGATAATATCTTTTCATTTTCGAAAAGAGTGTTGGTTAGATCCTCCTCTCGAATATCCTTCATCCACTGGTTCCTGTGTATTCAACCTATATCACAAAGTTTACCATTCGGTGGAGGAAGAAAAGGACGCAGTCATTCAAGTGTGTTATAACCAAAGTTTTAATCCAATACATATATATCTAAATATATATAGAAGCAACATGAAACTTTTTATATAAGTATAACTCACCTCCACAACTTACTTCCGCATTCCTCCATGTTGAATCACCTTTATTCCTCTACCCATACACTCCCCACTTCACATTTTTTTAAAACAAACAAATCCATCCATCCATCCATCCATCCTCTCTCTCTCACTCATTCCCTTCTTCACAACTCCTCCAATTCCTTCATCAATTCCTTCACTTCGTCCTTCTCCACCTTCTCCTTCTCCGCCATTCTTCGAATTCGCTTCTGCACCGCCTCAATTTTCTCCTCCGACACACGCTTTCGATCCTCCTCCGTGGCATAATTCGCCTTCGCGATCGCTTCCAACTCCCACACCTTTCTCCGCGCATCCTACGCCTCAATTCGCGTCCCATCCACCACCCGAATCACTTCCTTCGGGAAATTGCACAGCTGCGCCACGTTAATTCCAAACGATTTGTCCGACGGCCCTTCCCGCACGCCGTACATCATCGTGATGTAATTCTCCCCGTTCAACGCCGTCACGTGCACGTTCTTCACCGCGGGGAACTGCTTCGCGATGGCTGTGAGTTCGTAAAAATGGGTTGTAAACAAACAGAAGCAATTCGGGATTTTCCGGAGAATGAACTCCAGAATTCCCCACGAAAGGCCCAAGCCGTCATACGTCGACGTCCCACGCCCCAACTCATCAATCAGAATCAAACTCTTCCCTTTATCTTCGCTACACCCGCTCAGAATGTTTGACATGTCAATCATCTCGCTCATAAACGTCGATACCCCGCGGGACTGGTTGTCCGACGCGCCCACGCGCGTGTACAGCGCAGAAAACGCCGGGAAAACCGCGGTTTTCGCGGGAACGAAGCAGCCAATCTGCGCCATCATCACGATGAGCCCTAATTGCCGCATATAGGTACTCTTTCCACCCATATTCGGTCCCGTTATGATGCACACGTTCTGCGGAATATTGTTCCGAGGAGTCAAATCCAAATCGTTCGGAATGAACTGCAGACCCGTCTGCACTTCCAGGATTGCATGTCGTCCCTCCTCGATCCGGATATCTATTGGTCCCGCAATGCCAAACCCTACAATCTCCCGTGCCATTCGTAGAAACTGGAGAAACTGGAGAAACCGTGGAAACGGGGGTAGAGGGAAGGAATTGAGGGCGTGTGTAGGGAATGGAGGCGATGGAGGAGGCCTCAGCGAAGGACAATAACACATCCAATTGCGCGGCGAGCGAAGCGAAAACGTGGAAACGTGGAACGTAGGTGCGAGCCACGTCGATGATGGAGGCGACCAATCGTTCCTGGGCCTTGGCATACTCCGCTCTGCACTCCTCAAAATCGCTGGACAAACCGCGGAAGTCGCTATACATGACGAAACGCCCGAGTGGAAACGTGGAACCGTCGAGTGTGAAATAAATGCCGTTTTTCAGGACTTGCAGCACGGACACGTCGGGAATCGATTCCACTTCGTTGTGAAACCGACTCGACACGCGGAAGCAGAATCCAAACCGGGCGTTTCGCTCGCACTTCACGTCCATCGTGGAATACTGTTCCCGGACCTACGATTTACCGCGGGGATCTACCTCTACGGAGTCGAAAACCGCGGTAATCTCCGCGAAAAGCTGGTTTTTGCGCTGCGCGACAGATTCCAACGTGGCGTCGTAGGTTGGACGCACCAAAAATTCGGGCGGCGTCATGGCGAGCGCGTCGGGATCGATCACGTGATCGCAGAGCTCGCGAAACGGTTCAAAGGATTGGATGAGATCGCGAATAGGGTCGATGAAGACGGATTGGAGCGTGGGATTGGAGGCATGCTCGCTGTTCTCCATCGTGTTCTATTTCGAATTCGACGTCGAAACGGGGTACAAGGATTCGGTTCAGCTTGGAAACGCCCTGACTCAGAACGTATAAATCTTGGAGGCGGAAGCGAACGCGGCGTTCGAGGCGCTGCGCGAGCTTTTCGATGTCGACGAGGCCTTTTAAGCAGCCCGTGCGGAGCTCGTTGCGGAGCGAAACGTCGTGAAGAAAGAGCTCGACGAGGTCTAAGCGCGTGTTGATGCGATCGATGGAGATGAGCGGTTGGCAGAGCCAGCGGCGGAGAAGCCGTTCGCCCATGCCGGCGGTGAGAGTGTGGTTGAGAAGGCCGAAAAGGCTGCGAGTGAAGGCGAAGCAGCGAGGAAACCTGGAGGTGGAGTCGCGGGTTTTGTCGACGGGGAAAATGTTGAGGGTGGAGAGAGCGGAGCTGTCGAGTCGCATGTAGTCGCTGATAGAGTAGGATTCCAAGCCGTAGTGACCGACGAGCGAGCCATTACAGAGATGGAGATTCTGGAGGTGAGCGTGAATTGAATATAATAAAATGGGAATACAGTGACTAGAACGTTGGCTGCTTTGAGGGCAGAGGGCATTTTCAGGATTGTCGGATGCAGATTGAGATTGTCCTCACCGATTAACGCAGAAAGGTCTTGCTCTATGGTTTCTTGAGAAAATTCACTAAAACAATAGAAAGCACGCAAAACAGAGTACCTCTTCTTTACTAGTTTGAGGGAGATCTCGAGTTGCTCCAGTAACTTTGAAATGTACATCAATTTTCCTTTTTCAGGGTTCCCAAAAGTGTACACGTCATTCACATTATTTTGAACTAAAATCGTTTCCAAATTATTGTACTGCGTATTGTCTGCATATTCAATTCTAGAAATAACAGAGATGAGCAAAACCAAACAAAAGCAGCTTGCGATCACAGTCATTATTACTGTTTTTCATATTTGCTATATCAATAGCAGCCGCATACTCCGCAGAACTCTAGAAGCTCAATCATCTCCAAATGTACCTCACTTCCGAATAATACAATGCTAAACTTACTACAATCTCCTCTACAAATGATTTTTCACAACAATTTTGTACCCTCCATCACTCCCAATTACATTATGTGTATTCTATGATATTTTTCGTATCAAAATAAATAGACAATAAAAAGAATGTAATTTATATTTCAAACCTTTGGTTCTCTAAGTTGTATGTAATTGGCGCCAAAGACGGAATTAGTTTCTTTGAATTCCATTTTGATTCATAAAGTTTGTGATCAACCATTTTGTTGTAATAATCAGTCCGATAAATCCTACATTTGATAATCGAACATGACTTTCAGGATGGTTGAAATAAAGGAATCATGCAGCTTTTTAATTTTGCTCACATCGCATTATTATCATGATCGATTAAAACACTGCGATGAGGAATTTGAATAAAACGAACAGTCTAATTAACTATCATATACAATCATCGAATGATATGTCATCAAATCGAATCGATCTTCATCTATTAATATCTTTTGTTTTTACAAGATTAGCAAGAATAGATGAGACATCTATGATTGAAATAATGACAATCCATACATACTCGAAATTGTCTATGTTCGAAATTCTTTGAAAGACTCGGGTAGATTCACATATGGAAGGTTTTATGCATCTAAATACTATATATATATATATATATATATATATATATATATACTATTTTTACAGATATACTTTCCAATGTCACTGAGGAAGGACTATTGAAACCAAATACTATAGAATTGAAGGATATAAGTTTTGTAAGAGCTATAATCAATCATGTCGTATAATTCTATTTTTAGTTCGCTTAACAAAGGATATGAATCATATCCTTCTCCTTCAAATGCACTATCACCGAGTTGAATGGATTGTAATGATGGAAGATCTACATCAATCATTTCATTCGAATTCGTTCAATATTTTCCGTTATTGTTGATAGGCAATCATGGAATGCCTCATCACCTAATTCTACGGATTGTAGATTTGGAAAATCTATGTATGCTAATATTCAATAATAGCCACTATGTGGATAAGGTTGAATGGAATCAATGACATTACAGCCACCATCAATGCTATTTAATTAGACTATTATAAGGTAACAGCTATTATATTCATTACTTAAAAGAAATTACTAAAATACATATTTTCCTTTTAGAAATATAAACAACTACTACAATCGCTTAATTCTAATTAACAACAAACATTGAATGGACAATTGTATTTTTGAATTAATATTGTGTGATCATAATTAGATAATCCATGAATCATATATTTAGTATTTTTTGATTATGACAAGATTAGCGAGAATTGGAGAAACATCTGATAATTAAATCAAGTAAACCAAACAATACTCGAAATTGATTTCCATCGAACATTCTGGAATGAATTAGGTAGATTCACATTTTCAAGATTTGGAATATCTAAATACTATCAATACTTATCATTTCAAAAATACCTTTCAATGTCACTCTACTATAAAAATAAAAACTACTATCTAGAGAATTAATGGATGTTAGATTTGGAAGATCTACATCAATCAAATAAATTCATTTCATGAATACTTTGCATTGTCAATGAACATGATTCACTATTATCTCTTCCCCCGAATGTCCATTTACCGAGTTGAATGGATTGTAATGATGGAAGATCTACATCAATCATTTCATTCTTATTCATTCAATACTTTCAATTAATGTTGAGATGGAGAGAGAGAATGCAAAATCACCTAATGTAATGGATTGTAGATTTGGAAGATCTATGCATTATTCAAATATTCAATAGCAGTTCAATACCTTGAATTACAAATGGACAATAATAGAAATTGCTTGATTTGCTTCCAATTGTACCAATTTGAATCGATCGTAATTGTGGTAGATTCTTTAGTTCAAAGCTTCCTCCAAAATCACTGAAACTATATTGTCCAATTTGAATGGATTCCAATGATTCACAATTCCATATGACCAATGATTTTGATTTGTCATCTCCATAATCATTCTTTTTCTGAGTAAATGAATTCTTACCAATTTTGATGGTTTTCAATCGATTCAATCCATCGATTTTGTTTTTTTTCACATACGCAAAACTATTATCACCAATTTCAACAGATTCTAATAACGTGAATCGAGAGAAGTCAAATATTGTGTAATTTTTATCGTTACAAACTCCAGAAGGAACAACGATGGAAATGGAAGAAGAATTCATTGATTGGATATAGTCTTGACAATAAAGCCAAGAATAGAGTATATCAGTGACATCTAATATCAATATTACAGAGATACTTACTTCTAACAATTACACTTTTTACATTTTCGAACATATTAGGAGCTTCGATATATTGAAGCTTTGGCATATCTAAATACAATCAGTCTTCAATATTGAGAACTACTTTCTAATGTCGCTAGATAAGGATATTGGAAACTAAATCCTCTAAAATTGATTATTGATTTTAGATTTGGAAGATCTGTATTCAATTATTCGAATAATTCCATTCTTACTTCGCATTGTCAACGAACATGTTTCATTATTGTATTTTCCTTGAAGTGCAGACCAACCGAGTTGAATGGATTGCAATGATAGAAGATCTAAAATATATTTTTCTTTCATATTTATTCAATACTTTCCATTACTGTTGAGAAGGATCTTTGGAATGCATAATCACCTAATGTAATGGATTGTAGATTTGGAAGATCTATGCATTATTCGAATATTCAATATCATATCAATACCTCGAATTACAAATGAATTAGCATAGAAATTGTAAGAAGCACTTTCACTTGTCCCAATTTGAATGGATCGTAATTGTGGTAGATTTTTCAATTCAAAGTCTCCAGCATAATCACTGAAACTATATTCCCCGATTTCTATCGATTCCAATGATTCACAATTCAATATACGAAATGATTTCGATTTGTTGTCCGCCTTTCTCCAGTCCCAGTTATATTGCTTCAGTTGAGTAAATGAATTCTTGCCGATTATGAGTGTTGTTAATCGGTTCAATCCATCGATTTGGAATGCTGGCACTAATCCAAAACTATCATCGCTGATTATGAGTGTTGTTAATCGATTGAGTCCATCGATTTGGAATGTTGGAACTTCCCAAAAGCAATAATTGCCGAGTTCAATTGATTCTAATGATGATAAACTTGATAAATCGAATGTTGGTGAATTTTCGAATGTATAATCACCTAATGTAATGGATTGTAGATTTGGAAGATCTATGCATTATTCAAATATTCAATATCATATCAATACCTCGAATCACAAATGAACTATACCAGAAATTGTATGACCTACTTCCAATTGTCCCAATTTGAATGGATCGTAATTGTGGTAGATTCTTCAATTCAAAGTCACCAGCAAAATCACTGAAACTCCATTCACCAATTTGAATGGATTCCAATGATTCACAATTCAATATGTGGAATGATTTCAATTTATCATCTCCAAACCAATTCTTCACTTGAGTAAATGAATTGTTTCCGATTTTGATCGTTTTCAATCGATTCAATCCATCGATTTGGAATTTTGGAACTTTCCGAAAGCAATAATTGCCGAGTTCAATTGATTCTAATGATGATAAACTTGATAAATCGAATGTTGGTAAATCTTCAAATGCCCAATCACCTAATGTAATGGATTGTAGATTTGGAAGATCTATGCATTATTAGAATATTCAATAGCAGTTCAATACCTTGACGCACAAACGAACTATAATAGAAATTGTATGACCTACTTCCAATTGTCCCAATTTGAATGGATCGTAATTGTGGTAGATTCTTCAATTCAAAGTCTCCAGCATAATCACTGAAACTGAATTCCCCGATTTCTATGGATTCCAATGATTCACAATTCAATATGTGGAATGATTTCGATTCATTATTTCCATAATCATTCTTTCTCTGCGTAAATGAATTCTTGCCAATTTTCAAACTTACCAACTGATTCAATCTATTAATTCTGACTGTTTTCACGTTTACAAAGCAATTATCGCCAATTTCGATTCTTTTTAGATTCGGATAGTTAGACAATTCAAAAATAGTTACATATTTTCCATATCCTGATTCCACTATATATGATTCTTGCTTAGATCCTATTCCATGAATCCCTTTATTCAGATAATAATTAATAAAGTAGTAATAGAAAAGTATGACAAAAATCACTGCTACAATAACAGTTACATATCCATTCTCTAGTAGTTTCCTACACAATCTTGCTGTTTTCAAATTACAAATTACGCTTTTGAATCTACCTTTCCGCTCAATTGTCTTTCCATCCTTTCCAAATTCTTCGCTTTTATCTTTCCGTGGATAACCCAATTCAACACTATCAACAAATCCTCCTTCATACACTTTCTTACCATTCTTATATTCTATCATAATATCATCACGAAATTGTTTCAATAATGTTGCTTCCTTACCTTCTTTCCAAACACTCACACAACTAATCTTTCCATCCTCATAAGAATAACAAAACCCTTCACTATTTCCCAACTCATCTTTCTGACTAATTCGAATGATTCTTCCTTTTTCATCCATTTCTTTCCAATATCCCTTTCCCATTTCATTCGATGGTACTATATTCAGTTTCTTACCTTTCTTATAAAATCCATCAAATACCACGTTGCCATTTTCATCATATTCCTGCCCTCTTCCTTCTCGATATCCGTTTACAAAGAAACCTTTATAGAACAAAATACCATTTTTACAGAGTGTGCAAGGTCCTGAAGCGATTCCATTCACAAATGTCAGAGTTGCCATTAGAGTATTGTCCTGAGAAAAAATGCTGGACTCTCCGTCCATTTTCCCGTTTTTCATTGTTGTTTTGATAAGGCAACCTTCGTGAGGTTTACCCACTTCAATATGAGTTGGACCATTTGCTATTCTTCCTGACTTTATGGGAAACTGCTCAGAAACGTTGCATTCCCACCAATGGTCTTTTTTGTATTTTTCATTGCTAACTTCGTTTCTTATTGGTATTTCGATGTTAGTAACGTGAACAGCACCTTTTGATAAATAGCTCATTTACAATCAATAGGAAAATATTGTGTATTTCAAAAGGTGAAACGAATCTAATAGATCCTTGATAATCAAATAATATCTGTACATTTTGTGCGTTTCATTTATAACCACCCTTATTCACCCTATCTATACACTATCAAACTTACATTTAAAGAATAAATGGATTATAAGTGATAATCCGTTGATTCTTTCCTATTCTTAAGAGCTTTTTGTACATTTGTGAAAAACTCTATAACGTTCTCGGTATAGCGTTAAATATGAACACTACTTGTCTACGTCCCTTTCTATGTTGATGTTACTACCCATATTGTGTTTTCTTTGTTTATATTAAGAAGCATGCTATTCCACAAATCCTATGCGTTTAGCTACCATTTCTTGAAAGTTTTGATTAATAAACTACATTAGAATATATATAAATTGTACTTCCGTGCAATTGAATAGTTACTGCTCTATTGATTGAACAAGTACCCTGCTATTTGGTTTAATTTCAAAATGAAACAGGTTCTGTGCCCTTCAGAGAAACCCTGCTTTAGGTGAAATCCAAAACAAGTGAATTATAGTCTTCTCAATTTACCTGTAAATATGGTATTATTCCTTATACTAAGTTTCCAGGATAATCAATCTATTCAATGTGGATGTGATTTGTACCTTCAATATAATTATTAGTGATGTTATAATTAAAAATATACTTTTTTTGGTAACAGTACGTAAGCCTTATACTAGTTTTGAAAAATGTGATGCTTATATTCACATAACTAATATAGTCAACAATGTCCATTGTGATGATACTCTGGATGAGTAGAATTCGATTATGTGCATAGGCAGCATAATTATGTCAATTCTATGGAATTTTTTTGCGTGAAAACCGATTATCATGGTATATTATGAAATATCATCACTATTAATCTGATCGATGTGAATAATGATTTGTTTTGTCCATACTATTCTAGTCTGCAATAAGGAAATAAGTATATCACCTGTTACTGCTGTAATCAATGAGATTAATGCCGCTTCTATGGACTTTCAAAAACTCTGTTTTTGAAAGTGGAGTTATTGTTGTTTTCAGTATTGCAACTAAGTAAAGCCTTGCAACTTTATATAAGACAATGAAGCATTGAGGTCGAGTCGCTACGTGTGAATCATTTCTTGGTTATCAGAAAGAATGAAAATGTTGTTATACATTATGTGTGAAATCTATCATATTGATAATTATAAAGAGAACAATTGCTTTGCCCCCATTAACCCACTATAATGACAAATCGCGCTGTTTTTTTTAATGATTGATTGCCCAGTATAAATCAAGCTCGCAGTATTGTGTTACTATCTATTATCCTGGATGACCCTATCGATATCCACAACTCTTCGTTTGTTCTCCATGTGAGAAATACTCCTGACAATCAACGTGTAAATAGTGACAAAAGAATTCGAACTCTTCTTTGATTTTGTTTCTAATTTCAATGAGTTGTGCTTGTTGTACAAGATATAAAACTGTACCAAAACTCTATTACGTGTTATTGCGTTTTTATATTAGGAAAAGAAAACCTAACCACTTGACAACATAGATAGAGCAAACCACATTCTTAGTGTTATATTTCCTCATTCTCCCTTCCTAAACATCCCAATTCCGTTCGTCTTCTTCATCTCTCCCCCTTTCACTGTTTCCAACAAACACTCCACAATCTAGGAACACTCAGCGACGGCATATCGAACACCTCCAACACCCTCTTCAAGTACTTCCGATTCTCCATCGCAATATCCAGCGGCTTCTCCCGGTCGCTCGGCACTTCCACCACCTGTCCCTCCTCCTCCGCCTTCTGCCCCATTCTCCGCATCCTCTTCCTCTGCTGCGCCTGCACCGCCGCCTACGCCTCGTTTCCACGGTTCCACGCTTACCTGATACACCGGATCATTCGAAAACATCGGGTTCTCATACGCGTTCCCGTACGCATCCACCAACGCCGCGGCGCCGTTCGTGTTGTTCGTCAGCATCTTCACCAGCATCGCGTCCGTCGGTGGCGGCGGCTTGATGTTCGGAATCTCCGGCAGCTCGATGATCACGTCGTACTTCGCGTCTGTCCCCGACGACGACGTCGACATCCCCGACGTCTCGTCGTCGTGGAACCAGCGACGCGCTGCGGCGTAGCTCAGTTTGATTGGACGGCCGTTGATCACGCTAGGGGAAACGGGGAAACCGGGGAAACTACTAGCCGTTCATTTCTTTGAGAGCGGTTTCAGCTTCGTCGCGCGCGCGGAATTGGATGAAGCCGTAGCCTTTGCTGACGGAAGTGCCGGTCTCACGCATGATCTGAAGATGATTAGCAGGCAATTGAAGAGTACCTTGGCACCGCAGAAAGAGAGATATTTATCACGGAAGATCGTGTAAAGCTGGGTATCGGTGACGCTTGACTCCAAGTCGCCAATGTAAAGGCAATAATTATCACCCAGATTTAAATTTCGGCTGTTTCCACCAAAATTCAGGCGGAATGTGTATCCTGTGCCCGCTAATAGTTACAAAAACCACACAAGAAAACGAATGGGGCGGCCATTGTATCCGTTCAGTGCATGAATCGCATCTTCTTCGGTGGCAAAATCGATAAAGCCAAATCCTAGCCGTAAACAAGTTGAAAAGTGCAAACCGAGTGACTCGTTCGTTGTTCGATCTCGCATTAGCTTAATGGAGGAAAGTCCCTCTGATTCCTTAGCATAGAGATCAATTTCATACTCGCATTTCGCATCAGGGCGCATAAATAATCCTCTGTCCAATTTTCCTGGACATCACCAATCCACAACGTTCTGGACATAGTAAATTAGCAACAGACACAGAAATCGAACAATCCTTTGGAAAAATCGAAGTCGTGGTAAAAAGTGACTATTTCCGCGGAACTCTAAAATGAGAGTTGGACGGTGCCAGAATGCGAATGGAATGAAAAGAGACAAGAGTATCCATGTTGAATAAAACGGTGATATTCTATTTCGATTGTGTCGGCTCATACAAGTTAATTCTATTATTTATAAACCATCAGTTCGATGTGTAAGAGAAAGAGAAAAATCGATTTGAAATCAAATGGACTCTATTTCATAAATAACCCCAATAGTGATTCGATGATTATGAAATCGGGTCAAAACCGACACCAATAATCGATTCCTTTATAGATTTTTGTCCAAGTATAAAGATAAAGGTATGGATCGTAATATTTTGGTGGAAGGTGACGACTCCTATTGGTTGTGAAGCGAGGACTGTCTTGCTAATCGTTTTTTAGAATGGTTAAGCAAAAGCATCATACCGCCCGTAATCAGAGCATCAAGAACCACAAGAACGGAATTAAGAAGCCCCTCCGTCAGCGTACTCGCTCCATGAAGGGTGTATGTGGTTTTGCGGCTGTTTCATTGCCTAGGTTGATCCTAAGTTCCTTAGAAACCTTCGTTACTCGAAGAAGCACAACAAGAAGGAATAAACCATACTTTGACGACATACGAGGGACAATTTCTATTACCTGTTTGTTAGACACTTGTGAGTGATGGGAGGCAAAATTTACACGCAACTGAGTAGAATTGGAGTTGCTTGCGGTTCGGTCCTGTTTGTGTGGTGAGGAAATAGGAGTTTGCCAACTTTTTCTTTAAGTTTATTGTGAGTGTTTGCTGTTGTCATTCACAAATGCTGCTCTTTGTGACTCTTACTCAAGTATTCATTCCATTTTTTATTGAGGCACAGAGTTGTAATCTCACTTGTACCTACTGCGGTTCGGATGAGAACTACGAGGACATTGAGAACATTACTGTATGTTTGGGTAAAGAAGAGTGACCACTAGCTCGATGAGTACGAACGAGACACTCATCCAAAGGAAATGACTTACGACATTTCAAAGTTGGAGCCATTTAAGTAAGAATGGAATTTGTGAAATAATGGAAAGAGAGATTGAGGATCTGGCGATTTGCTTCTATGGTGGCGAGCCGTTGCTGAAAACGCGTGTGATTTATAAGATTATGGACATGTTCCCGAATGCTCGTTTCTGTTTGCAAGTATCTGCTGATGTTTCTGTGGGTCAATCTCTAGACAAACGCAACTCTGCTCAAAACCGTTAAGGAGGATTATCTAATGAAGATAGACACGATTCTGTGCTCGATCGACGGTCGTCCCGAAATCACGAATCGTTGCCGCGGTGCGAACACCTACGAGCGAATCCTTGAGAACGTGGAGTGCATCAAAGCCAAGGGCTACAGTCACGACTTGGTGGCGCGTATGACGGTGAGCGTGGAGCAGCAAGGCGATATTTACGAGGAAGTGATGCATATCAAACGACAATTTTGAAGTGAAGTGTGGGGTAGTGAAGTGAGTTGAGTTGATTTGTGGTGAATTGAGTTGAGTTGATTTGTGGTGAATTGAGTTGAGTTGATTTGTGGTGAGTTGAGTTGATTTGTGGTGAATTGAGTTAAGATGAGTTGAGTTGAGTTGAAAAAAGTTGAGATGAGTTGATTGCTTTGTTCATTGATTCATTCATTGATTCATTCATCGATTTGTGAATTGTTCATTCCTTGCTTCATTCCTTGCTTCACTCCTTGCTTTTGTCCTTTCCTTTACCCCACATCTCATCCGCGCTGGTTTCAAGCACGTTCACTGGCAATTGGATTGCAACTGGGACACTCCCGAGTCCCAACGCATCCTCGACTGGTGCCACTGGCGCGACACCTCCTACAACCCGGGCATTTCGCGCCTCGCCAGCGAGTTTGAGCGCGTTCTGCTCACCGAGCATCGCATCTTGCCGATTGCTCCATTCACAGGAATTCTCTATTCGTACCCTCCCAACACACTTTTCACATAGCTTCCTGCGCGGAGAACGCGTTACCGGTGTTCGCTGCGGCAGCGGAATCACGTCCTTCAAGTAGCAATGTGAATTGTGTTCCATGAAGTATCACCACGGGAGGCGGCGTGAGCAGCTGCCCGATCGCTGCTGAGTTGGAATGCATCACGTACATCCACAACAAAGGTGACAGATTCATCATGCGAAATTGATGTCCAGATTTCGATCCTAAAAAATTGCTGAATTCGGAGAAAGTGGGCGAGCCGTGCGTTTCATGCGATATTTTCCATGAGTGCGGAGGGAGATGCTTGTATGCGAACCAGACCAAGTGGTGGGGCGAGGAAGGCTTCCTGGAGGTCTGCAAGACCATTCGACACTTAATGGACGAAATGCATCGCATTCTGCCTGCTGTGCAGAAGGTCATTGAGGAGGGAGTCTTTACGGTGGAGGATTTCCACTATCCTACTTACAACAACAGCATCGAAGTCATTCCGTAAGCGGGAAAGGTCCTCTTGGACTGTTTGTTAGAAACGCTAGATTTTCGTTGTGACTTTTCTTGTTTTTTCGGGATTGAACTATGGAGAGTAGAGTTGCTCGAAGCGTGGGTAAAGTCGCTGAAATCCCTCTGCAGCTCAAACGAGCCAAGGAATCCCTCTCAAAGTTGCAGAGCCAACTCGCAAAAGCAAAGAAAAGTGTCGAGGAAAACGGCGAACGGAAAATTCAGGAGATGTCCATGCAACAGTCGAATGCTCTACGCGAGCTCGAGAATCGGATTCGCATGCAAATGAAGGAAGTAAATATGCTACAGAAGAGTCTGTCGTCGACGATGGCGGATGGAAAGGGTATAGCGTGTTTTAACGTATATGATTTGTAGCAGTACAGCACAAGGGAAGCAGTGGAGATAAAGACGCGTTCAAAAAGGGTTCGAAGAAAACATCCATTCCGTTTGGTTCTGCAATCATCAACGGAATCACCAACTCCAATCCTTCTCCTCCCAACAACAATTCCTCCGATCCCAAACCCGGAAATCCGAAAGACTCAGGCAAGCCAAGCCGCAAGAAGCAAAACGAGGGAAAGCCGAAATACGTTCCCAAAGACCGAATGGTTTTCCCTCCGTCCTTCTCCACATCCAACGCTCCGATCCCCGAAGCCGACCTGCCTCCCCTCCCCATCCAAATCACCGACACCATTTCCCTTCTGTCCTCCAATTCGAACACAAATCAGAACACTAACCAAAACACTAATCATAACACTAATCAGAACACTAATCAGAACACAAACCCGTCCTCCTCCTCTTCCAAACTCCCCTCTATCTTCTCTTTTCTTCACCCGATGAACGCAGACGAGTCCGCCACGCGGCCCGCCTCGCAGCGCCAAGCCGACTTCGATTTCAGCTCGCTCTCGCTCGATTTCAAAGCCTCCGCAGCGCGTTCCGCCGAATCCGAACCCATCAACGAAGATTCTTTCGGAATGGACGGCATTCTCGGCAATTTTGATTACGAAGACGAAGAAATTGACCCCTTCGTCGCTATGAAGCCCAAGAAAACCGCCACTACCGCTCAAACCACCGCGAAGAAAACCGCGGGAATCAGCTTGGAGGGGCTGCGGTCGAAGGCGAAAGCGAAAAACGAGTTCGCGCAGCTGTTCGGCGGCTCGGCGAAGAGCGAAGCGGTGAAGGCGTACAATGAACAGCTGGAGAAAACGCTCCAAACGATGGGGCTTTCCACGGTTTCCACGGTTTCTACGGTTTCTACGGTTGAGGGAGGATCGATGGGTGCTGAGAGTGGAAACGGAGAAACGGAGGGGGATGAGAAAAGAAGGGAGCTGGAAGCCAATTCAAAATCCAAATCAACCGGAAAATCGAAATCGAAATCGAAAGCAAAAACAAAAGCGAAGAAGATAATGACGATTACGAGCGATCTCTCGGTTCTGAACGTGTCCAAACTGTTCGGAATCCCCGTAAAGGAATGCATTGAGCGTTTGAAAGAGTACGAGCCGGACAGCGACTCGCCTCTTCATTCCAAAGATGATTTGGTCTCCACGGACGCCATCGAGCTCCTCGCCATGGATCTGGACATCGAAGTCCAGGTCAACAATCGATTCAATCTCCAGCCCACCAATATGGAGACGTCTCCTCCCGATCTCCCTTCTCGACCGCCCGTAATCGCGGTTATGGGGCATGTGGACCACGGAAAAACGACTCTTTTGGATCGTCTGCGGCAGTCCTCCGTGGCGGCACACGAAGCAGGCGGCATCACACAAGCGATCTCAGCGTTTAACGTGAAGCTGAGCAGCGACAACGTCATTACGTTCATCGATACTCCGGGCCACGCAGCGTTCACAGCCATGCGAAAACGCGGAGCCACTGCGACGGACATCGTGCTGCTGATCGTAGCAGGAGACGATGGCGTGAAGGAGCAGACCGTGGAGTGTTTGAAGCTCATTCACGACACAAAACTCCCGGTTGTGGTGGCGGTGACGAAGTGTGGAAAGAAAAATGTCGACAAAGACAAGGCGGTTCATCGCGTGGCCACGCAGCTGCTCGATTACGATTTGATCACCACGCCGTTCGGAGGCGAAGTGAACATTATCGGCATCGACAGCATCACCGGCGACGGCATCGAAGACCTCAAAAACCTTCTCTACGAAGAAGGCGTCATGCACGAAATCCGCGCCGATCCCAAAGTTCACTTTCTCTCCTCTCTCTGATGATTTTTAGGCTCCAGGCGAAGGCGTCGTTCTCGAAAGCTCCGTCCGATCGGGCATCGGAACCAATCTCTCCGCGGTGATTCGCTGGGGACAGTTCCACGTGGGCAGCGTGTGCGTCATCGGCGAGAAGTTCGGAAAGATCAAGCAGATTCTCCGCGACGGGAAGCCCGTCCGCGAAGGCAGGCCCGGAGATACCGTGGAAATCCGCGGGATTGAGTGCTCTGCGGGCAGCGGAGAGTGGATCATGGAGGTCAAGAACGAATGGGAGGCGAACAACGTCGTGCATTACCGCAAACGCCACGCAGCGTTCCTCGAATCCATTCAACAGCGTCGTTTAGGCCTCGATTCGCTTCTCTCCGACGCGCAATCCATCGCTTCCAACGCTTCCATTCTCTCTTCTTCCGCGATTTCAACCGACGCTTCCGCTTCGAAACTCATCCGAATCCCGCTCGTTATCAAAGCCGACGTCGATGGGTCCGTCCAGGCCATCCAGCAGCAGATCGAAGGGCTCAACGCCGATCTCCAAAACGCGCAGTTCGAAATCGTCACCGCGAATGTCGGCGATGTCAGCCAGGGAGACGTGGAAACCACACGCGACTGCAAAGGAATACTATTACTCTTCAACGCCAAGCTCAATCGTCGGTTTTTTCTAAAAAGATTTCAACGTAGATTCCATGCAGAAGCTCGTGCAGAGTCTCAAAATCGCCACGGTTTCTGACTCCATTATTTACTCGCTTCTTGATAACGTGCCGATTTTTGGAATTCCTAAAATCCAGCTCAAAACGAAAGCCTCGGAGTTCATGCCGATCGTGAACGCGCCGGTGACCGTTTCGACGGCCGATGTTTTAAAGGCAGATTTTTGGAATTCCAAATAACGGGCAGATTTTTGAAGGAAGTGAGAAAAGCCAGATCGCAGGGTGCAAAGTGAGCAGCGGCGTGTTGACGAAGCAGTCGCTTTTCCGTGTGCTTCGGAATGAGGAGGTATTTTTGGAATTCCAGAAATCAGGGGAAGATTGTGTTTAAAGGAACGGGGTTCAATTCGATTCGGCATTTTAAGAATGAAGTGGAGAGTATTGAAGAGGGAAAGGAATGCGGAATTCAGATAAAGGGGTTTACTGTGTGGTGTGGAGGAGGAGAGTGAGGTGTAGGACTTTAAAGAGGGAGATGTGATCGAGACGTATGAGTATAGAGATGTTCGCCAGCCTTTGAGTTGAATTGTTTGTTTGAACACAGGCAAGAAGCGAAATGAATGACATGAATGACATGAATGACATGAAGGAAGAGGATAGAACGTGGATGGAATAGATTTTGGGATAGAATATACAAAGGAATTGCTTTGGTTTGATACAAAGTGCCTCTCTTTTAATGTGAGGATGAACTGAAACAAAACTGTGTGTGATATTCAAAAATAGAATTGTATTTTCTAATTCAAATCAACTGATTTATAATTGTTTACTAACACAAACAATGCTTTGCTTTGCTTTGCTTTGCTTTTCATTCAACAGAAAAGAAAGCTCGTTCCATATATCACCAGTTTTATCTGAAGATTCTGGCAAGCGGATCGGCGACATCTACAATTCATGCAAATAATTCTTTCGCACTTATCACCGTCGCATTCCTTACAGCAGTAAACGCATTGCGGAGATCAACACGCGTAATGGAAGGGATATCTATGCACTCAACGAACGGGCCGAAGACAAACTCTCAAGATACACATTTCGCACAAAGCAAAAACCATACCAAATCGAATAGAGAGTTCTGAGACTCGGTAAATCTACGCGTGATAAAGAAAAAGAACAAGCCACTCTTCATAACCACTGTGCATTCTTCGCATCCCTTCCACTGCTGGAATGCATAATTGCCCACGGAGATATATTCCAAACTCGCAAGATCTATATTCGTTATCCACATTTTCTTTTTGTACTATTGAACTCGATAACAGGAGAAAACACAAAGTTCAACGCGCCGATATGCACCGTTTTTAAGCTCGGCAGATCTACAAGAATCAAAACCGCTCTCTGCATTCACTGTATAATCGGAAGTTACCAAAAGCGCCAACGTACGAATACCAGCGAACGTCCGTCGATCCAGTCTCAAGCGACTCCAACAAAGGCAGGTTTCTTATCTCAAAACCGCCCGAGTAATCGGTAAAACTGTAAGGACTAATAACGATGGTTTTGAGCTGCGCGCAGTTCTCCACCAGGAACGTTCGCGTGTTGTTAATCACTTGATTGTTTGGGTAGAGCGTGAACGATCGGAAGCCGATGTAAATGCTTTGCAGACGAGGCAAGCCGCCGATGTAGAACGTGCCCGCCCATTTTGCATTGTTGCCATCAACAGAAACAGACTCCAGCTTTTTGAAGTAGCTCAGATCGAACACCGATAATTCGGGTTGATTGCAACCGTAGCTCGGAATGTTCAACGCGGTAGAATTGATATTCAGCTTGGCTAAATACGAGCAGGCAGAGAAGCCGTCTGGAATGGTTCGGCTCTCCACGATTCCAGCGAGCAGCGCGTTCACGTCTATCAATGGTAAAGAACAAACGATCCAAACTTTCGATTTCTTGGATAATAACGTACTTCAACGCATCCAAAAGATCCACGTTGGAACACTTCGGGATGTCTACGCGTCATTCTGCTTGAAGAACTGCACTGGAAAGCGTGACATTCTGCACGGATGTGAACGAATAACCCAGCGACGTAATCGATTCCAACTCGAACAGATCTAATCGCTATTCATCCCTTTATTTTTGCATACTGCGCATGATCAACGAGCAAGATCCGCTTCCCCAGACGCCATACAAAGCATAGGAGCCAAGACGAACTGATTTCAATTTGGGCAGATCTAATTAAATCATTCATATAATTTATCGATAATACTGTCCAGAACGGTGGTGAGAGAAGTGGAGAAGGAATAATCTCCCAATTCGATCGTCACCAAATTCGGCAAATCTAACCAATCATTCAAGTTACTAAAAAAAAGACTGAAGATGATGAAGGAACTGTAATAGAAGTTATACGACGTCACGTTAATGCATCCAATCATGATGATTTCGAGAGAAGGAAGGTTCACCAACTCGAAGCCTCCCGCATAATCAGCGAAACTATTCGGACCGATTTCGATCGAAATCAGCAGCGTGCAGTTCACGATCTGGAACGATCGGTTCTTATTTTCCTCGAAATTATCGTCTGTCTGCGTGAAGGAATTGCTTCCAATCCGCAAGTATTCCAAATAGGGAAGATCGATCAGTCTGAACACGTCCACATATCGGAAACAACCGCTTCCGATCGTGATGAAAAAGAGTCTTTCCGTGTTCTCAATGGAGAAGTGCGTGGAGTTCGCAAAGGCCCGATCTCCAATAACGATCGATTTGAGGTTGGGCAGATCTATTCCGTGAAGTTGGAAGAAAAAATCGTACTGACAATGATGAAATTGCTGAAATAGAAGTTGTAGGAAATGTAATTGATTCGTCCGATCACGATGATTTGCAGCGCTGGAAGGTTGAACAGCGTGAATTCGCCCGCGAAATCGGAGAAGCTGTACGGCCCGATCTCAATGGAAATCAGCATCGTGCAGTTGACGATGCGGAAGGATTTGGACGTGTCATTTCCATAGCTGTCGATCTGCTGAGTGAACGAATTGTTTCCGATGGTGAGATAGCGAAGATGCTCGAGTCCATTCAGCCAGAATCTCCTGACTGTATGGAAGCAGTAATTGCCGATGTGGAGGAACACGAGGTGCTTGGAATTGCGGATCGAGAACTGCTCGGACTCCGCAAACGATCCGTCTCCAATCGAGATCGTTTCTAAATTGGGCAGGTCTACGCAATGAGCAAACTAATAAAAAATCAAAAGAACCGATGATTGTGAAGGAGCTGGAATAGAAATTATAGGAAGTGTGATTGACAGATCCAATAATGAGGCTTCGAAGCAAAGGAAGGCTTTGCAGGACGAACGGTCCAGCATAATCCGAGAAACTATACGGTCCGATTTGAATCGAAATCAGATGAGTGCAGTTCACAATCGAAAACGACTTGGCAGTATCATTTCCAAAACTGAATAACTGCTCCGTGAAAGCATTTTGCTCAATTAAAATGTGCGATAAAAGCGCGTGGTTTCGAATTGAAAAGGTACTCACGTTCTGAAAGTTGTTGCTTTCAATCCACAAAAACATCAGATCGCTGAATCTCTCTGTCAAGAACGAAACATAACTCTCCTCATTGCACGCATTCTCTTCGATATGAAGAATCTGCACCGAATTCTCCAAGCTGGAAAACTCCTGACACGTCGAAACTCGCGTCTCTTCAATAATTCCTTTTGACACGTGGAAGAAAACGTCCCTCGACGTCGCTTCTCGCAGCGAGATTTTATCGCTCGTTCCGAACTCGCTTTGAATCACAAAATAGGAGTCTTCGTTCCATCTCTCCTCCCATCCATCCAACACAATCCGCATCATATGAGGCTCCGCACAGCCCTCAAAAACATCCACACTGTTTCCCTGATAGACCATCGAAACAATCTCAACATCTGCATAACCGGAGAAGAGCGTTAAGATCTCAGAACTGTTAGGACTCAACCCGTAATATCTTCGAATCGAGTAATACGTCAATCCTTCGTCGCACGTCAGCGGAGTTGGCGCTTCGGTTGGCGGTTCGGTGGTCGGAGGAGTGGAAGTTGGTGGATCCAAAGGCTCGAGAAGAATGTCTCCTTCGTGACCCACATTGCCTTCAATCGTAATCTTGAAGTACATCACTTTCTCGAACGGCAAATCGACTTTGTACTGGATTTTAACGATGCCGTTCAACGCAAAATCCACCAATTCCATTCTCGTATCGACGTTGATTTGAATCAAAACCAGCGTGTGAAGATTCCACAGAGATCGATGCCGAACGCTCACGATCTTCAGCAGAGGCGTATTCAACACGAACTTGCCGATCAAATCCATCAATCTTCGCGAAGCCGGCAATCCAGAGAAGCAATTTTCTCCAATAATCAGCTCCTCCAGAAGCGGCGCATTGATCTCAATAAACTGAACATTCGCACATGTGTTATCCTCAAAAACAAGAGAACGTAATTCCGGGAAGTCGAATCTCATCTCCGTAATCGTATTGAACGATCCTTGCTTGATCACGATCTTGGTCGCCCAGGATGGAATCAATCCAAGCGACCCAACCGAATCATCCACGACGAATTCCGTCGAGATCGGCTCGGCCTTCAGCGAGAACGCATACCCAGCAATCCCGGCATAATTCGCGTTTGTTTCGTTCGCAATCACAGGCAGATTCATTTCGATATTCTCGCACGGCACCACATTAAACGTCACAATCCATTTCTTTTCATCGAATCCTTTCACCACGCCATACAAAGAAGGTTGGTCAGTAGCTCCAGTGTAAATCGCATCGCCCGTCACGTCGTTCACCGTCTTCAATCGCACCAAATCCAGCGCCAGCAGCACGATCACCGGCTTTCCTTCCGCCACAAACCGCTTCAATCCGCTCGCGTTCGGCGCCTCATTTCTCTCCACTTCAAAATAAAACTTCGGCGTTTTCGCGGAACAAAGCGCCTCCATCGACAGCTCCGCCGCCGCCGCTTCCGTCATCAATCCCTTCTCCGCCACAAACGCTATTAAATCCGCGGGAGACACGTCCTTCGCCTCCACTTCCAAGCTTTCTTTTAAGCATTGCAGAACGTACAGCAGCGAAAACTTCTCTTCGATTCCTTCCTTTCGAAGCGCCGCCTCCGCAGCCAGAACCAAAGCGCTCGCCCACGACGTCGCCGCCGAATTCGGCGATGAAAACGCAGCCGTTCCCGCGGTAATGTCGCGACCAATCACGTTGCTGGGAGGAGAAACCGCGGGGAATTGGACAGGGTCGGCGTAGGAGCCGGCGCCGGAATATTTGACTCCGAGATCCATCATTTGGAGCAAGGCTTGGTCTGGGAAGTCGGAGAGAATGGAGAAATTCATTGGATAGTTTCGATATTCGGCTTTTGTTTGGATGTCGAGACATGATTGACGCCAGTCTTGGAAGTGAAGGCTATGGGTGGATTGGGGGGTTAGATGTTACTTTTTATAGCTGTCTAGGTCGGTTCCCCATTTTGAAGGGTAGTTTAGGAGGTAGTTCAGATAATCATGATCATCGCAGTGAAGGGCTACAGAGGTGTAGACAGCCTGGAGGAAGACAAAGAGTGCAAGAAGTGCTCTCATACGTAATAA